CTCTCACTGTTGTGGCCTCTCCCGTTGCGGAGCACAGGCTCCGGACGTGCAGGCTCAGCGGCCACGGCTCACGGGCCCAGCCGCTCCGCGGCATGTGGGATCTTCCCGGACCGGGGCACGAACTCGTGTCCCCTGCATCGGCAGGTGGACTCTCAACCACTGCGCCACCAGGGAAGCCCAAGAAATTGACTTTTAATATCATCAGGGCACTCTGTCCTATTTTTAGATAGTTGGAATTTCCTGTATAACTTTTTAAATAATTATCAAAAACAATAAATGCTCATTATAAAATTCGAAAGATAAAGAAAAGTTTAAAGAAGAAAATAAAGATCACCCATAGGGCTTCCCTGGTGGCGCAGTGGTTGAGAATCTGCCTGCTAATGCAGGGGACACGGGTTCGAGCCCTGGTCTGGGAAGATCCCACATGCCGCAGAGCAACTAGGCCCGTGAGCCACAACTGCTGAGCCTGCGCGTCTGGAGCCTGTGCTCAGCAACAAGAGAGGCCACAATAGTGAGACGCCCGTGCACCGCGATGAAGAGTGGCCCCCGCTTGCCACAACTAGAGAAAGCCCTCACACAGAAATGAAGACCTAACACAGCCAAAAATAAATAAACAAATGTGGGGTTTAAAGAAAAAAGAATATTATTTAAAAAAAAAAAAAAGATCACCCATAATCCTCCCCCTAGATAACCATCGTTTACACATCTTGAAAATCTTGGTACTCTCTCCTACTTTTTCTAAAACAGAAGTTGAATCATACCATATATTCAAGTTTGTTACCTACCTTTTTTAATGTGACACTAAGAATATTGTGGGAGTTTTCCCTGTAGCACGATATAGCATCTTTTAAAACATAACTGATAGTATTCTGTTGAATGCATATACATAATACACTTAACCCCAATTTATGAACACTTTAAGTTGTTTCAAATTTTCTACTATTTTAAGCAACCTTGCAGCAGTCAATATTGTATATATTATGTCTTTGTACATTTGTCTGTTTTCTTAAGATAAATCACTAGTCACAAACTTCCCAAGAAAAAAGTATAGTTATATTTTTAGGATTAAATATAAATATACTTATATATATATATAAGTATATAAATAAATATATTTATAACATATTTATATTTTTAGGATTTTTATGTATATTGCCAGATCTCTCTCAAGAAGGTATATACCATTTTACACTCCCCTCCATCAGTTTATGAAATTAGTCATTTCCGTCCATGCTTCCTATGGCTATGAGTTTTAAAAGCAAACACAACTCTAGTAGGCTGTTAAGGAATTTTCTGAATATGGTGACATTTTTCCGTAGGTGTACTCTGACTATGAAAGCAATCCCCAGTTGCGTCAAGCCATTGAATTCGCCTGCCATCAGTTCTACATTCTACACCGGAAGCCCTTTGTGCTCCAGCTGTTTGCAAGTGTGGCCCCTCTCCTGGAGTTTCCTGTGAGTAAGCTCTGTGGAAATAAAGACCAACCCAATGAGGAAAGCAAAGTCTGTTTATTCAGAGCTTACTACAGCAAGGGATTCCTGGGCTGGTTACTACAGATTGTAGATCAGTTCTATATTTATGTATGGCCTGATCATTGTGCATTTGTATAATCAGTCTCTCAGCTCTCTTTATTCAAGCAATGGAATATAAATACCCAAAATTATTTCTCTTTCAACAAGAAAATCTTCTCTCTTCAGTGTTTCTCTTCAACCCTTATTTCGGCCCCTAGGATGTAAATAGATCAACTCTCTGGTTTTTTATACTCAGTTAATGAAAGGATGGAAAATGGAAAATGATAAAAGGAAGAGTTCCGGATTCTCATTTTTTTCTATCACTCTCTAGCACTTACCCTGCTTTATTTTTATTTTTCTGCAGAGCATTTATATCATATCACATGTAATATATGTATTTGTTTCACTAACATGTATCTTTACCACACCCCACAATAGAATTTGAGCTCCGTTAAAACAAGACATTTGTCTGGTTTTTGCTTGCCTTTTGCTTGTTTTTAGTTTTGTTTTGTTTGTTTTTGTTTTGCTGTAACTGCAGTGCACAAAATGGTGCCTGGCACATAGTAGGAATTTAATGAGGTTTTTTTTTTTAAATTAATTTGTATTGGAGTATAGTTGCTTTACAATGTTGTGTTAGTTTCTGTTGTAGAGCAAAGTGAATCAGCTATATGTATACATATATCCCCTCTTTTTTGGATTTCCTTCCCATTTAGGTCACCACAGAGCATTGAGTAGAGTTCCCTGTGCTATATAGTAGATTCTCATTAGTTATCTATTTTATACGTAGTAGTGTATATATGCCAATCCCAATCTCCCAAGTCATCCCACCACCACCCCTTCCCCCTTGGTATCCATACATTTGTTCTCTACGTCTGTGTCTCTATTTCTGCTTTGCAAATAAGATCATCTATACTGTTTTTCTAGATTCCGCATATATGCATTAATATATGATATTTGTTTTTCTCTTTCCGACTTACTTCACTTAGTCTGATAATCTCTAGGTCCATCCATGTTGCTGCAAATGGCATTGTTTCATTCTTTTTATGGCTGAGTAATATTCCATTGTATATATATACCACATCTTCTTTATTCATTCCTTTGTCGATGGACATTTAGGTTGCTTCCATGTCCTGGCTATTGTAAATAGTGCTGCAATGAACATTGGGGTGCATGTATATTTTTGAATTAGAGTTTTCTCTGGATATATGCCCAGGAGGATTTGTTGTTTTAATGAATGAATCAAAGTCATTTTACAGAGATTTGAGATGGTAAGTATCTCCATTCTGGAGATAGATTATCAACTAAGACCTGTAAAATTCCCAGGGTTGTCAAAAAATTCATCTGTTTCTCAAACATATTTGATGTATTCAACCAATCCATTATGGAAATTTGTGGGGGAATGCTGAGTCCCATTATCATAGACCAGAGAAAACATAGGCATGAACTTTACTGGCAGTTCACATTTTGCTGTATTTTTATGAGTTTCCACAAATATCTCTTTTGTACTAGATTAGCATTTAATAGATCCCTTAAAACTCAGGTGTTCACTCCATACAATAGCATGGTTGGATGCAGAATTCTGTAAGCTGAATACTGCCTAGATATTGTTATCAATGGCAGTGTTTATGAAAGTTGTATTTCTGATCAAACCATATTAGTACTGATGTAGGAATTAATAAACTAAAATGGCTTTTCTTTTGTTTTTAATTGAAGTATAGTTGATTTACAATGTTGTGTTAATTTCTGCTGTACAGCAAAATGATTCAGTTATACATATATATATATACATCTTTTTCATATTCTTTTCCACTATGGTTTATCACAGGATATTGAATATAGTTCCCTGTGCTATACAATAGGACCTTGTTGTTTATCCATTCTATATATAATAGTTTGCATCTGCTAATCCCAAACTCCCAATCCATACCCCTTCACCCTCCTTGGCAACCACAATTCTGTTCTGTGTCTGTGAGTCTATTTCATAGGTAAGTTCATTTGTGTCATATTTTAGATTCCACATATAAGTGATATCATATGGTATTTGTCTTTCTCTTTCTAACTTCACTTAGTATGATAATCTCTAGGTCCATCCATGTTGCTGCAAATGGCAATTTCATTATTTTTATGGCTGAGTAGGATTCCATTGTATATAGGTACCACATCTTCTTTATCCATTCATCTGTCGATGGACATTTAGGTTGTTTCCCTGTTTTGGCTACTGTGAATAGTGATGCTATGAACATATGGGTGCATGTGTCATTTTGAGTTAGAGTTTTCTCTGGGTATATGCCCACGAGTGGGATTGCTGGATCATATGGCAACTCTATTTTTAGTTTTTTTTTTAGGAACCTCCATTCTGTTTTTCACAGTGGCTGCACCAACTTACATTCCCACCAACAGGGTATGAGGGTTCCCTTTTCTCCACACCCTCTCGAGAATTTGTTATTTGTAAACTTTTTAATGATGGCCTAAAATGGCTTTTCTTTGTACAGGATGCTGCCAATACTGGGTCCAGCAAAGGCGTGTCAGCTCAGTGCCTGTTTGACTTGCTGCAGTCGCTGGAGGGGGAGACCACGGACATCCTAGACATCTTAGAGCTGGTTAAAGCTGAGAAGCCTCTTAAGTCATTAGGTAAAAGCAAAACTTGCCTTGGCATTCTTTTTCTTTTTGTAATCTTTCTTTTTTTAAATGACCTTATACTGAATATTTTGAGCTAAATCAAAATAGCAAAAATAAGTGGAACATGCGCTGCCTTTGGGCCCCCGCCGCGCCTGCGCGTGGCGCCGGGGGCAGGCTGCAGTGCCAGAGCAGCACGCGCTTGCGCATAACTGGGGCCGTCTTGCCCCCGCGGCGGCAGCCCTTTTAACTGCGAGCAACACTGGGGAAAAGAAAAAAAAAAAAAAAAATAAGTGGAACGGTGGTATAAATTAAATGAGTACATTTTCCTATCTCCTGTTTTTCTTAAATTTCTTGTAAATCTTAAAATGTAAAGGATTCTCTGCCATGAAAATTGTATTAAAAGGGGGGCTCAATAGACCGCTGTAGTTTTCAGAAAATTGGGTTTTCCTGGGCAATTCTAAGTGAATAACCCTTTAAGACAGGCTTTTATTATCATGGAATGTCTACAATTAGAGGTATTCAAAGATGAAGTCTCGTGTCTTACCTTAGAGCATCCAAATATCCTTCTATTAGATGAGTTTTTTTAAACTACCAAAAAAAAGCACTTTTATTTGTCATCTGATTATTCAAAAATAGAACAGAATTTTTAGTCCCTTTAGATGAGGATATTAAGTGTTCACAGTTTAGGAATAAAGTCTAACAAGGAAATGCCTACAAAATATAACTGGAAAGAAAGTGTTAGGAGTAATAAATTCTTCTTTATCCCTGGTGGAATCCACTCTGATTGTGTGCCTTGCCCTTCTGTCCCTTCAGATTTCTGCTATGGAAATGAAGACCTGACTTTCTCTATAAGTGAAGCCATTAAGCTCTGTGTTACTGTGGTGGCATATGCTCCTGAGTCATTCAGAAGGTAACTGCAGCCTTTTATTCCATGCCTTGTAATAAGTAAGTATGGCAAAGGAAATAAAATTGAGCGACTACAAAGGTTATGTTTGCTAAGATTAGCCTGTAATGTTCTGGCAAGTATGCTTTCAAAAACTAAATTTAGGGAACTTGTCATAGCAGAGGTTATGAAAAATATAGTAAATCTTCATCAATTTGAAATCCCCTAATTTGGAAATTGTGAAGTGGCTAAGATGTTTTAGTCTTGTTTAGGAAATATCCTCACATGTAACAGAAATTAATAGCAAATAAAATTTCAGAAAAGACATTTAAGCTATTTAAGAAAACTCATTTCAAGGAGCAATAAGAACTTGTGTCACACAAAGAGCAGGAAGAGGAATCTTGCCTGTCATTTTGCCAAGTGCAAGGAATCCAAAGGACTCACCATGGCGAGTGTTATTACCAGTTCTAGGATGTTGGCTCTGACCTGATTTTATTTACATATATATATATATATTGTGTATATATATATATATATATATATATATAAAATATGTAAATATATAAAATGAAAATCAGCCTCATCTCTCTATTAAAATAGGTATTCTAAAAGCAGAGACAATAATTCAAATGAATTATGGATAGCCCCTTTTTATGTAATATACATGCTTAAAGATAAGAGCTGCATTCCTTCCAAATGTTCTATAATTCTGGCTTAACCAACCCTATGGCCTTCCCTCCTCTTCCTCAATTCAACATTAGGAAATCTCCCCCTCTTAATTTCTCAATCTACTTTGATTTTTTCTTGTAATATCTAACCCATAAACAAAGCATTCGATTCTATTCTACCATATTCTTAGTATATGTGATATATCTTCCAATGCTCAATATAGCTCTGTATTCCATACATGATATAACAGTATAAATTTATAAAATGAATGAATCAGATAACAGCCAACTGTTTCCATGTTCCTATTTCTCTCATTTGTAATTCTTCTTGCATAGGCCTTTGTGGTGAGAAAATAGTTTGAAAATAAAAATATGGATTAGTCATAAACATATCACAGTTTTTGCCTCAACTTTCTTTTGAGAGAAGGATGGGCTAATAAATTATTCCAGGGTATTGCTCCTCTGTTAAGACTGCCAGATCTAGGTAGGTTATCACCTTTCTGATGTAAATTCAAAGAACTGAGACTACAAACTCCTGTCACACAAGGAATAAAATATAAATCTTATCTGAGTGTGAACTCAAGGATGCTGGCTCTGATCTAACCCAGAGTCACCCACATTGGTCCTACCTCCTCGGACCAGCTGTTGATCTCATGTGCTCAGGGTGAGTTGTGACTCTGACTCAGGTTTGAAGTGAAAGGGAAGATGACTAGTGATTCTCCTGGTGAAACAAACAGAGAACTAGCGCTTGTCTATTCATACCAGTCCAGTTCTAACCTAATAGTCAAGCCTATCCTGAAACATCTATAGATCGGGTGATTTATGGAACACTAGATAGAAGTGTATAACTGATCTGAAAGTAAAGCATAGTGATCTACTTGGGATCTAAAGATTGCTTGGGGCTTACAGATTTCCACATTACTTAAAATTCTTAATTCTCTCTGTTTGATCAAATCTCCTTATCAATTTCTCATATTCCTCCTTAAATCTACTTCTGGTTTTCAATTAGTGTAGAAAAATATTGACCCAACTATTGCAACTCTGCTATTTTAACCCAGTGGATATTTTGACCCCAAGGATATTTGACTACGACTTTATAAATACAAACATCTTAATCATAATTATACCTATAAATTTTCATTAAGGGATTATTTTCTAATTTATTTATGCCAGTTTAATTCCTCAGCCATTTTATGTTGCAAATAAGCCACTTTCAACTTTTCATTTCTATTTTATCAAAGTTCTTTTCATTGAAATTATTTTCTTTCTATGTAAAATTTATAATAAAGTTTACATTCATTGATTAAGTTTTAGGGGAGGACTTATTTTATCTTGGTCTGTATCAAACTTTGCTCATTAGATTTTCTGTCATTTTGAGCTTTTGTGTTTCAGGTTTTGATCATTACTGTATAGTTTCCCCAAGTCAAATTTCAACGGTGCCCATAAGATGTAGTTTCTTAATGTAGAATAAACATCTGAAGCAGGATGTTTATTAAATAACAAATTCTACTCAGTGGTGTTTTAACAATTGTCAGTTTTATTTTATATCAAAAATTCTTTCAGAATAGTTATTATGAATTGGATAAAAGACTGGGAATTTGTATTTTTAAAGTAATCAATGAAAAAAGCAGCAGACAACTGGTCAGGTATTCCCAGACTGCTTTATTATTCGGGATTAATCTTAGAGTGTAATACCATTATTTAATATTCTTCCATCAGTTTGTTCATTATGTACTATCTCCTCACACACCGCTGGGACAGAGAGAGCAGATGGTAGGGTCAGAACATCCCGCTGACAAGCAGGGTGACCTCCGCCCCATCTCCACAGTGCATTTCCTGGTTCCCCCACTGCAAATAATCTCTCCTGCCTCCGGTCCCAGAGCAATTTATTTTGAAGTTTTCCCTTATGAAATCTGTTGCTCAGCCATCTCGAGGCGCTGAGCCAAGTCACCTTACCTCATCCTGCCTCTTACCTACCAAGTTTGTAAACATAAGGAGCCGCCTGAAGAAAATGCATACAGTTTATTCTTACCACAGCCTCTGGTGGAAATCTCTGCTCTCCTTGCCTGAGCTGAATATCACAGCCATCTTCAGGGTCCTCTTTATCCTTTCTCAGAAACTCCTGAAATGGTGTCAGTCATAAGAGTTGAGGTTTCTGGAAAGATCCAGTGAAGAGTGACTTCTTTCTTGCCCATGTTCTAAATAAATGAAGGAAGGCAGAAGGGAGGTTGAAATGTCACCTTTAGTGCTGAGAAAGATTAAGTAGGGGAATCAGGCTTGAAACAGGACTGCCCTGAGAACTCACAGCAGAGGATAGAAGCCCTGTTGGCAGGCTTTTCCAGGAAAAGGAAAAGAGCTGAGCTGATTTTGCCCAGTATGTCTATATCAATTTGCCCCTCAGGTAAGTCTTTGTCTTCTCCAGAACCGAATGAGTAAAAGGGCAAAGAGGAACCGGGATTGATATTGACTGAACTCTCTCTGCTGGAAGGAAACATGAGGAATGAGTAAAATATGCCACCCCCATCCCCAACATTCCCACCATATTCTGTCTTAAGCAATGGGGATTAAACTCTATGCCCCTGGTCAACCCTGCCTCAGGAGGGCAAATCTACCCTCTATCAGGACGGTCCTCCTCCTGCTTTCCTTAGGCTCCTCCTACAATATCACAGCTCCATAAACGGTTCAAACATGGATCAAAACCTTGCATTAACTCCAAGTCCACTCGATTCCTAAGTGTCAAAATACCCCCTCTTCTATTTTCCACTCCAAGCATATCCAGTACCATGTTATTAGGGTGTATCAGAGATTCTGCAGTGCGATTAAGTGATAACATGAAGACACTGCAATGACAAAATGTATAAAGATTCTCTAATATTAAAATGCTAACAGCATAGAGAAGCCCTAAATTTGACTAAAAAATCCTCACATTATCAAATTCCCAATGAGATATAAAAGACACTTTCAAGTTAAAATCCAAACACATTGAAATCAAAAGGAATTAGAGTTCACAATCAAATTCTCTTGTCATTGTGAGTTAAAAGCCAGAGTCCAATACTGTTAAGCTAAATTAAAATTTTTTTAAAAAACCCCCCTAATACCTTATTCTGCTCTGTTTAAGCCAGAACTGTTCTTAATTCCTGGGTGGAGCCAGGATCTCTTAAGTAGTTGTTCCCTAGGATATGTTTCATGGGAATAAATTCAATTCTTAAAAGACTTCAACATTTGTAAACACCAAGTCCCTGTTGTGCTTAAATTTTTTTAAATAATGTATTTTATTTAAATATTCATCCAAGAAAGTTTTTACAAATTGTAATTTTATAGTTTAATGAATGTATACAAAGTTAACACATCAGTGTAACTACCACTCAAATTGAAAAATCAGATAAAAGAACCACTATCCTGATTTCCAGCATCACAAATCAGCTTTGTCTGTTTCTGAACTCAACTACAATGAAATAATATGGTAGGTATTTTTTAATGTCTGACTTCTGTTCTTCAGTATTATTTCATGAGATTCATCCATGCAGTCGTGTATAACAGTAGTTCTTCATTTGTCTATAATATTCTATTGTGCGGCTATGCTGCAATTTGTGTATTTCTTCTTTTGTTGACAGACATTAGTGTTGTGTCCAGTTTGAAGCTATTACCAGTAATGCTGCAGTGAACATTTTTATATATGTCTTTGTGTGCACATATATATGCGTCTCTGTGGGTAAAAATGCTCTGCTAGATCATGGAGTATGTATATGCTTCGCTTTAGTAGATACTACCAAAAAGTTTTCCAGAGGGCTTGTATCACTTTTCACTCCCACCAGCAGTGTATAGGTGTTCCAGTACTCTACAGCTTCATCAACACTTTGTATCGTCAGTCTTTTTTATTTTAACTGTTTTTGTTGGCTTATAGTGATATCTCATTGTGGTTTTGATTTCCATTTCCCTCCAGCAAATTAAAAGGTTTGGAAGCCTTTCAGATTGTTTACTGGAATTTGGATATCTACTTTTGCAAGGGGCCTATTGAAGTATTCTACCCATTTTTAAATGAGATTATCAGTAATTTTTATTTGATATATGGAATTTTTTTTAAAGAGTCTGATATAAATACATTTTAACTTATATAGAGTGGTGTTGCTGGTAAACATTTAACAACCAACTCTCTGGGAGAAAGAGTTTCTAATGTGTAGCATTGCCAATTTGCTAATATGTAGCAATTGCTGAATACAAAATACCAGAATGACATTGAATGTGGTGTTGGAAAGAGATGCTTACGGTAGGCCTTTTTCTTTAAATTTAATTTTTAATGGAGTATAGTTGCTTTACGATGTTGTGTTAGTTTCTGCTGTAAAGCAAAGTGAATCAGCTACACATATACCTCCTCTTTTTTGGATTGCCTTCCCATTTAGGTTACCACAGAGCATTGAGTAGAGTTCCCTGTGCTATAGTTGGTCCTCATTAGTTATCTATTTTACACATAATATCAGTAGTGTATATATGTTAATCCCATCCCAATCTCCAAGTTCATCCCATCCCCCCCTTCCCCCTTGGTATCCATTCGTTTGTTCTCTATGTCTGTGTCTCTATTTCTGCTTTGCAAATAAGAACATCTATACCATTTTTCTAGATTCCACATATGTGTTAATATACAACATTTGTTTTTCTCTATCTCTCTTACTTTACTCTGTATGAAGTGAAGTCTTACAGTCTCTAAGTCCGTCCACATCTGTGCAAATGATCCAGTTTCATTCCTTTTTATGGCTGAATAATATTCCAATTTATATATGTACCACATCATCTTTATCCATTCCTCTGTTGATGGACAATTAGGTTGCTTCCATGTCCTGACTATTGTAAATAGTTCTTCAGTGAACCTTGGGGTGCATGTATCTTTTTGAATTATGGTTTTCTCTGGGTATATGCCCAGTAGTGGGATTGCTGGGTCATATGGTAGTTTTATTTTTAGTTTTTTAAGGAACCTCCATACTGTTCTCCATAGTGGCTGCATCAGTTTACATTCCCACCAGCAGTGCAAGAGGGCTCCCTTTTCTCCACACCCTCTCCAGCATTTGTTGTTTGTGTATATTTTGATGATGGTCATTCTGACAGGCGTGAGGTGATACTGCATTGTAGTTTTGATTTGCATTTCTCTAATAATTAGTGATGTTGAGCATCTTTTCATGTGTTTGTTGGCCATCTGTATGTCTTCTTTGGAGAAATGTCTGTTTAGGTCTTCCACCCATTTTTTGATTGGGTTTTTTGTTTTTTTGATCTTGAGCTGCATGAGCTGTTTGTATATTTTGGAGATTAATCCTTTGTCAGTTGCTTCAGTTGCAAATATTTTCTCCCATCCTGAGGGTTGTCCAGTAGACCTTCTTGACTGGTTATTTAGCCATTCCAGCACACCACTGGCTACTTGTATTTCAAATAACATCTCCTACTCTGTGGCTTATAATTTTACTCCCCTAATGTTGTCTTTTGATGAACAGAGCTCTTCATTTTAATACAGTCCAATGTATCACCTTTTTCCTATTTTTTAGTGCTTTCTGTGTCCTCTTATGAAATCTTGGCTAACCCAAGGTTATGAATATATCCCCTTATATGCTAGGTGCTTTTTTGTTTTTATCTTAACATTTAGATTAACAAGCCATCTGGAATTAATTTTGGTATGGTGTAAAGTAAGGGTCAAAGTTTATTTTTCCCCTAGAGATATCTAATAGGCAATAGACCCAAGCACCATTTATAGAAAAGACTAGCCTTTCCCCATTGCATTGCAGTGTCATCTTTGTTATAAATCAAGTATCTGCGGATTTGTTTCGGACTCCTTATTCTGTTTCACATATCTATTGGTCTATCCTTGCACCAATATTATACTGTCTTAATTATGATAGTTTTATAAAAAGTCTGATGTCTGGTAATATGTCTTTTTACAATTATGAAATTTCCGTCTTTAACTTACCTTGAAGTCTGTTTTGTCTGACATAATAGTTACATCAGCATTCTTTTGGTGTTTGCTCTTACTTTCACCTTCAATATTTCTATATACTTATATTTAATGTCTCTTGATAGCAAAATATAGCTGAATTTTTAAATTATTTACACTAGTAAGCAACCATTTTCATACCTGTATCACAGTGACTGTTTCCAGACCAGACTCTTGCTGTAAAATTGCTTAAGCTTTAAGAAGCCAGCCTCCTAAAGAAGGGTTTTATTTTGTCTCAGATTTGTTGCAAATTACTGAATGGAAGCTTTGTTGATTTTTGTGAAGCTTGTTTCTCTGATTGACTGAATAGCTCTACCTGTTACCATTCTATTGTTCTTTCAACCAATTGTATATATGCTAACTCTCCAAAGTAGGTAATATTCTTCCTAAATGCAGAATTTTATCACCTTTTATCCGGTGCTTAATTAACTAATTAATTAGTGTTGGTAGATATTTCCAGCAGCTTTAATTACTCTTGACTTGGGTGGTGTGGGAAGGGGATTCAGAATTTTCCAACTCTCTAGAGGCTTTTCATTTCTCCATGCTCCAAAATATCAAGTAGGAGGTAAAAACGTGATTTGGTTTTCTATCTGTTGATTAAAGTCTTCAGATGCTGATGGTCTTGGAAGCTTTGGTGCCATGTTACCTACAAAAGCTAAAGAGGCAAACGTCACAAGTGGAGACAGGACCCGCTGCCCGAGAGGAGATCGCCTCCATGGCTGCTCTTGCGACATCCCTGCAGGCCCTTTTATACAGCGTAGAGGTCCTCACCAGGTAATCCCATCAGCAGAAATAGCCACAGCCATAAGCTATATGTATCCACCAAAAAGATGAAAATCTCAAACCCAGTTTTTATTTACAGATAACTTACCCAAACTCAGCTGAAACTGCAAGCATTCCCTAAGTTGTTTAGATAAATAGTGCTCAGTACTCTAAATAATAATGATGATGATGACAATAATAATAATAATTGTTAGTAGTATTATTCTACCATGATTGCTAAACACACATTTACATGTAGCTTGCCGAGCTTCTGTGGCAGTTTTAACCCAGCAGTAAACAAATCTTTTGTAAAAGGACTAATTTAGTGAATATGAAAATGTGATCCACGTTTTTATTAGCTCTTTTTTATGAGACATGAAATGTCTGCAATTTCAACTAAGCATTCTTTTATTATTTTCCTGTTTGTAAAGAGCTGGGTTTATTTTTACTTTAATTTCAGAAGCTACATAACAAACATAAACTACAAAATTTTATTCTAATGCTAGAATTGATAGATTCTCTGTCGGACAGGACTCAAGAGTGCTAAGAGAGGGGACTGAAGGATTTAGGAATGGAAAGGTCAGTTGACACCAGGGTTCAGCCCTAAACAAAGTTCCAAGAAGTTAGCCCTGTCACCAGATTCTTGGGTACAGAAGCAGAGGAATTGAGCTGCCCTGTGTCAGGGAAGGACTGGATAGATGAGGCCTGGGCAGGCGTTGGCGGGTGGGGGCATTAGCGGGGCCGGGGGGATGTCTGTGTACCAAGGATAGAGCGAGTGGGGGTGGTAGATGCAGGACACTATATAGTGATATGCTTTCCTTTTCCATCGTCATCTAAAATCAGCTGGAAGGAGACGTTCCTCCCCATGGGTGGAGGTGGGGAAGCCTTCTTTCTGCATCAGTGTCTTTGCTTCTCCATCCCATTTGGCCATATTGTTAGCCTAAAATTCTATGGTTTACTCCCATCACAGGCACCAACTTCTCCAGCCCCATCTTGCTCAGTTGGTGAGGGGACTCGCTGCAACCCCTCAGTCCATGGAGGACTTTTCCAGCGTGCACCAGCAAGTGAGAGGGGGAGTGAGATTGTTATTCATTAAGTTCAACCTATGTTTAGTTCCTAATCTTGCACTACATTGCCAACCGAGGCAAGCAGAACATAGCCCAAAGCCTTGGGTAGACTCTCTGCTGAAGTGCCCACGTGCATCTAATCTGAAGGGATGGGAAGCAGTGGAATAGGGAGCAGTGACAAACTGCTGGTGAGAAACAGCCCCCAGTGCTTTGATGATGGTTTCCTGAAAGTCTGAGGGGGAAGAACATTACAAGGAGAAATACGTGACTTACACCCTCCCTTCTGCACCCACCTGGTTATGTCACTAGTGCCTTCCTGTGACTAGAGGAGAGAAGAGCGGTCAATTTCCTTCAAGGGCCACTTGATTCTCTCTCTTTACAGTACACAATGTTGATGCTTTCCATTCCCTTTTATAAGGATAAGTCAATTAACTTCTCCAAAACTGACTTACCAAAAATTCCACAAAGAGTTATGGATGGAGCTCTGACATTTGAAATTCTGTGGCCTTAAATATTCCAGTGTATTTAATATTCAAAAGATGGAGTGGAAGACTAGCCTCATTGGCTGGCTGTAATTATTCACAACAAAATTGGCTCCATTGTTTTTACGAAAAGAAAACGAGAAGAATACCACTTCACTTCCACAGTCCTAATGTAGTTGCTCATGAAAATAAATTAACCGTTCTATAGGTAGTAACACAGAAACAAGTATATTACAAGTGTATCAGTATTAGTTTTCCATTGTTGCATAACACATTACCACAAACTGAGAGGCTTAAAACTGAATGCATTTATTATCATCGCATGGTTCTGTAGGCTGGAAATCTGGGCAGGCTCAGCTGATCTGTCGGCTCAGGGTCTTGCAAGGCCAAAATCAAGATGTCAGTTGGTCTGAGCTCTTACTGGAACGATCTGGGGAAAAATCCACTTCTCAGCTCATTCAGGGTTTTGGCAGAATCCAGCACCAGGCCGCTTTAGGTCTGAGGTCCCCTTTCCTTCCTGACCGTCAGCCAGGGGCCACTCTCTGCTGTTGGAAGACATCTGTATTCCCTCTTACACGGCCCCGCAGTCGTCCAGCCAGCAGGGATGCCTTGAGTCCTTCTCAGACTTCAAATTTGTCTGCCCCTCCCAAGAGAAACTTTCTGCTTTTTAAGGGCCGGTGATGAGAATAGGCCTACCCAGATCATTTCCCTTTTGCCATATGATGTAGCGTGATAATGGGAGTAACACCAGTGGGGCAGTGGGGGGAAGGTCTTGGGGCTAGCTTTAAATGCTGCCCCCTACAGCAAAGGCACCGAAGAGACGGTCTGGGGCGATTTTTAAAGGGTTACTCTCCAGCCACAACCAGCATACAGAAAATGAGCATGACAAAAGCAAGCTTTAAAGAGTTCGTGTAAGCAATAGCTTTGAAAGGGCTTATCTTCCTTTCCACGTCACAGATGACACAGACGCAGTTTACCTATATATGAGCTCATTTGAACCTGTTTCTTAGCATCCATAATAAATTACTGACTTAACAATAGATACTAATTTACTCACTTCCCTGGGTAGTCTTAGGTATAATTTTTTTTTAACATCTTTATTGGAGTAAAATTGCTTTACAATGGTGTGTTAGTTTCTGCTGTATAACAAAGTGAATCAGCTGTACATATACATATATCCCCATATCTCCTCCCTCTTGCGTCTCCCTCCCTCCCACCCTCCCTGTCCCACCCCTCTAGGTGGTCACAAAGCACCTAGCTGATCTCCCTGTGCTATGCGGCTGCTTCCCACTAGCTATCTATTTTACATTTGTTAGTATATAATAAGTCCATGCCACTCTTTAACTTCGTCCCAACTTACCCTCCCCCGTCCCCGTGTCCTCAACTCCATTCTCTACGACAGGAATAAAGACACAGACTTAGATCTAACTTTGACTAGAAAGATTCTTTCCTTGTTTGATAGTTTCTCAGAAAAACAGAGTGGTTGATTATGGAGCAGGTGGCCTAAATGATATGTACACCCTTATCTTTTTTTTACTGCCTAGAATGGCTAACTTCCTGGTACCTGTGGAATTGAAAAAATGAATTCTTAACTCTCACTTAATCAGCACAGACTTAGAAGTCTGATTTCATGAATGTCTGGCTTGAAGAGTATTTGTTTATTACTCAGGGCCAAGAAACGAAAGACCTTAAATCGTGGTGAGCTTATAGACCCTTGGGAATCAGTGTTCCCTTTAAAGTGCCTTCCAGGACAGACTCAGCAGAGGTGTGTGACAGAAAAGACCGAAGTCTTTATGAGCTTCTAGCTTCAAGCTTGTGTGAGCTGCAGTAACTTGAGGGTTTCATAAGTGTCTCCACTTATGTGGTTTTGTTACTGTTGTTGCAGGCCCATGACGGCCCCCCAGATGAGCAGGTGTGACCAGGGTCATAAAGGGGCAACCACAGCCAACCACACCATGTCGTCTGGGATGACTACCAGGTAATTCACTGGCTTTATTCTGTGGTCTCTCAGTGTCGTACAACCTAAATCTCAGCTGTTGCGAGTGAAAGGAATCCTGAAAATAGTCGATATTGAGCGTGAAAATCTCCAAGGAAAAGAGAAGAAGGTGAGAGTTGAGAGTTACACGAAAACACCTAGGCTTTTTTTGCAGTTGTCACCTTTGTAAATGAAGAGAAGTAAGCCACCTTCAGAAAGTGGCACTTACGTCCATTTGTTTGTGTGAGCATGCAAGATGTTCTCTGCCTCCTGGGTGGTCTTTGAACTATTCCAGTGTTGTTTCACTTGCCTCCAAGAAAAAGGCAAAGGAAACAATAATAATCAGGAGGTGGCTTCTCATTCCAGGGCAGTTGTGCAGAGTCACCTTTCTTTCATCTGGACAGATTTTCTACAGACATTTCATCCAAGCTTTGATTTAGCCCCTTAACTGATGCTTTCACGGTTGTTGACTTAATCACCTTCCCTCTTTTGGTGCGACTCAGACACTGGCTGCACTAGCTAATACTTTACTTCATTCTCCCTGGGTTAACCTCTAAGTACTCTGAGACAAAAATAAAAGTTTAATTAGCTTCCTCCTCCAAGGAAGATTTTAAGACACAGCAAACCCAAAATCAGCTAGGGAGAAAGTTCTCTTTTCCCAGTATGGAGTAATTAGCAGAGATTATAAGGAAAAACTGAATAATTTTCTATTTTCTCTGAAGCACATTTTTAAGTGTATATCATTATTTATGTAAATTCCCTGCTTATCATATATTTATGTTAAAAATGAAATAAGTTCCAAACTATCACATCAGATATAAATTATCTGATGTGATAGTGTTACCTCAATTTCTCACATTAGGGGAAAATGATTATATGGGTTTTGAGTAATGAGTTTAAGGGATATTTAGGGGTTTCTCTAAGCTTACTGAGCTATGTTCAACACTAGATGAAAGGTGCCCAGAGAAAGAGGGTTTCTAAAGTCCTTTTACCCATCACTCATAAAGCAAGAAGTCTCTAGAACTGAAAGGAAGTCAGCCATATTTCTTCCTGAAATATAGCACATGATGTTAAAACTGCAACTTAGATTCACCTCACCTTGAAAGTTTTCCAAAATTTCCTTCATTTGACCACATTCCATGAGTTTGTGTGTGTTTTTAGAGTATCTGTCTTTCTACAAATTATCTGGCAATGGAACAGCTTTCATGGCAGCTATAGTTGCAGCATATGTGGTCGGCAAATGAAAGATCAAGATTTTATATTTTAGGATTAGTATGTGTGTATTAGGGAGCTTACCAAAATGTGTAACTTCAAAGGCTTCTCATAAGAAAAAGTCGTTAAGAGGCCCCACCACAGGGCCCCTGCTCTTACTCTGATAGTTACGCAGACTGTTTTTCTGACTCCCAGGTACCAGGAACAAGGCGCCAAACTGCACTTTATCAGGTACAGAAAGACAACCTAATTTTGTACTAATTCTGTCATCTTGTGATAATTTGCCTTGTGAGCTGGGTTATGGTTCCGTCAGCTTTCTTTTCATTCAGGCATGGCATCCTACTTCTGCATAAATCCTCAGGAAGTGGCTAATGGAAAGCCACTACAGTTTGGGATGACAGTCTCTTGCAGGATGATGAACTTTCTTGATCTTTCCGATAAGGTTCTCCTAGGCCCCGCCCTGCTGCTTCATTAACTTGCATGTAATATAAGGCATCATAATTTTCTTCAGTGTGATACCTTCCTCTCATATTTGCCCCCCATACACCTTCCCAGACCCCCAGTTAAACTTTTATAATTCCCCAGAGAAAACCTGCACTTACTGGAGGAAGGGCAGGGCCTTCCCAGAGAGGAACTAGATGAACGGCTTGCTCGGGAGGAGTTCAGAAGACCCCGGGAGTCACTGCTGAACATCTGCACCGAGTTCTACAAGCACTGCGGGCCCAGGCTGAAGATCTTGCAAAACCTGGCCGGGGAACCGCGGGTCACTGCCCTGGAGTTGTTGGACGTGAAGTCCCACATGAGGTACTGTCCTCATTTTCTCTGCCCCTGAGTGTGCACACGGCTTGGGCCGGATGTCTGGAGGGGGTTAGGGGGTGGGTGTATGCGGGGGGATAAATGTGGGGCAGGATAAAAACTTGCAACTGGCTGAAATTGATTGGTCTCCTGTAGCTTGAATGCACATCAAACAGGGCCCTCTGGGAAAATAGATGTTAAGTCCGTGGAAAAGGATCTTAGCGTGGACAGGGGGAAATGTTCTTAAAGACAGAAAAGCCCAGTTGATATATTTGCTCCTTAATAAAAGAGCATGAAAGGGAGATTGCATCACCTGAATTCAGAGGCTTTCTTCCACATGCTCTTTACTGCCCCAATTCTAATTTTTCTCAAGAATCCAATGTCCCCTCTCTCTTATTTTACACAAAAAAATGCACAGTTACTTTCTGCTTGAGGACTTGCTCTGCCGCTACACTATCTGAGGACTCAGTGAGGGGCCTGCAGGGAAGGAGCAGTTTTAACTCGGAGCCACACTTGGGTTGAGTCTGAGATCCCTTTTACACATATTGTGCATGATAGCCTTCCAATGTTTCGAAAAAGTGTCCTGGTAAAAATTCTGCACTAGATGAGGCCAGTCATTCTTTAAAAATTTGTACTCCTGGCATGTCAGGGAGAGCCCCCAGAATTATATCTCTGTGCATTCATGTTTCCTTCTTCCTAAGGAGATGTCATTTCACTTGTTGCTTCAAACTATAAAGGCTGTGTCTGTATTTTCAGATTCTTAAAAGGAACATGGTTACAGATGATCTTCTATTTAGATTTGTAACAGTTTTTAAAGCATCATAAAAATTCCTTGAAAGGAAAATTCCATTGGTAACAAAATATTCACTTGGAAAGTTTAGTATATCTGTAAAACTAAAGGTAGGCTTAAGTTCTAGCCTTTCAGAAATAACATTGCAATTTGGCAAAACACACCAATTTCCTGATTATCGTCTCTTTTTTTTCTTAAAATGATTCCTTGAAAAATTTAGAAAGTACTAAGTGAGGGAAAATGAGAAGCCAGAAGTGTCTGGAGAACACAGGCTCTTTATCCTCCAGACTGATTTCACATTCTCTGAGTTGCTGGCACACACCCAGATGTCTAGAGCGTCACGTGTGTTTACACTCCCTGCTGTGCTGTGATGGGGAAGAACTTATTTTGCACTAAGAATTTCAGCTCCTGCACTGGGAAAGGCGAGGAAAGTTTGAAGTGTTAGGCTTCTGTTGCCATAGTAACTCCGTGCTCCATTCAGGCCATCTCCCCTCCTTTCCTACTGATAATGGCCAGCTGACCTGAGTAATTGTACATCACATTCCCAGAGTCAGAGAATCACTACTATCGACAGACATTTTGTGGGAGAAAGGGGAAAAGACTCCTGAAAGATAGGAGAGCGAGTGAAAGGGGGGGGAGGGGAGGGGAGCAATCATGATAATGGGTTAGTAACTGTCTTATGTATATCTGTAGCTACACTCAAGGCATTTGGAGAGAGGGGAGAGCATGAGTTAGAGAGGCCTGGAGCTCCCTCTAGAGGTCAAACCCTATTAAAGGTTAAATGAGCTCTAGGAGTTCAAATGATTAGCTCTGTGCCTGGCACAGATCTAGGGCTCAATAGATGCTGACGCTAATGAGAAAGATCCACATGCTGTCCTAGACACTGGGGATGTAAAATAAAGCCCTAGTCCTCAACATGATCACAGTTCAATACGTGAGGCACACGTAAGAATACAGAATGCGGTGTTGCAAGCACTATATATCACATGTATTTATGTGTTTATTATTTTACCAAGTACTTGAGGCAACTCAGAAAATTATATGATGCAAAGGGATACAATTTACAAATTAGAGGGTCGAAACAATGTGAAAAATTAGCAGGGAAATAGTTTATGATAAGATTAGCATGGGAAATCTACGTGATTTTATCACATTAGATACAATTGATGAACTGTAAATTTGACTTTGGGCTTCTGAGTTATCAAAACAACAGGGAGAAATGGCTGATCATAAAATCATAGTGTCAATAAGATAAAACACACAACTAGTTTTTTTTGGTAAAGCAAAATCCCCTTTTTAAAATATGAAGAACAAGAAGTATCTCCTGGTTGAGGCATGTTGAAAGGAAAGAGCAGAGTGATGGGCAGCAGCCTCACCAACATCCCATCACAGGTAAAGGGCCAGTCTCACGGGACTGGATGCCTGGAGGTACCAAAAGCTGCAGAACGTCACGATGCAATTCAGCAAGAGTAACCTGTATGAGCACAGTTATTTCATGGCCTGGATCAATGGGAAGGTAGGCAGAATTTTTTAATGCCAGGGACTATTTAGACGACTTCCCCTCTGTTCATGCTATTTCACACCAGCTCTCAATAAAAATGGACCCGTCACGTTCTCTGACCAAACAGAGTTTGCTGAGTTCCACATGTTTTGACCCTACACCAAAGCACAGGGTATAGTTAAGGTTTTCTTTTGTAAATTAAGTACACATTTGGCTGTATGTCAAAGTCAGAGCTAAATATATACATTTTAGAATTGGGGACCTATAGGTAGTATTTAAAGTCCTAAGAATAGATAGTATCCATCAAGGATAGTATCCATGATTTTTTTTTTTAAAGAAATAGGACGATATAAAAGAGGAGATAATTGCAAGAAGTACTCGATTTGAATCAAGGAGCCAAGAAGGAGTGTTGAGGCAATCTGTACCCCTGCATTTGCAGAAGTTATGATTGGCTCTCAAGTAAAACATTCTTGATTAGATAGAGTTTCTACCCTAAAGGAATTTATTACCTCATTTTCCCAGACCAAAGCTGCCACAGCAGCAGAATAGCAGGACAGTAAGCTCTGCAAACGAATTTTTCTCTCTCTCCCCCCTCGCCCACCTCTCTCCAACTCTCCCTCTTTCCTTTCTCCCCCTCTGTCTCTCCCTTGTGTTCTCAAGATTATTCATGTGATAGTACAGCAAAGACTGTATTAAAGGAAATTTTTGTTTTATGCTGGAAGCATATTCATTTTGTAACATGACCAGAGATGAGAGAAATTCAGTTAATAATCCATCAAATGACACAAATCCAACTCTAAGTATTGTTTTCAAGCTTGAAATAGATCAGTTATTTCTCTAGCATTTCTTAAGGTTACCTACAAGATAACAAGGGAAAAGAAATATGTGTATATACTAGATTTGTTTTGGTGGTCACTTCATGATGTACATGAGTCAAATCATTGCGCTGTACACCTTGGACTTATACAGTGCTGTATGTCAATTATATCTCAATAAAACTGGGAGAAAAAGAAAAAACCCATTTAAAAAAGAAATATGCGTATATAGATATACTTTTATCTGTCAATCAAACGACCTGAAAAGTAAAGCATTATTTTCTGCATGGCACATTTGTGAGAAAGAGATAAACAAAAGAGTGTGAAGACTGTTTAAAACGATTTCTTTAAAACACACACACTCACACACAATTTCTAGAAGGACAATGTGTATGTTCAGTCTGGAGAGAGTATGAGTGGGGATGAAGAGACAGTGACTGTTGATAGTGAAGGGTTGCCATGGAGAAGATGGATTGAATTCATGCTTCCAGATGAAGCCTCATAGGAAAAAATTGAGGGAATTTGGGGACCTAATATGAGGAGAGCTTTTCACAGTGTGGATGTCCAAAGATGGAATGAGCTGCCTCATGCAGTGGTGAATCCTCCATCCATGGCACTAGTCACACAGAGCAATTGTAGAGCAATCCATGTGGTAGAGGGGCAAGGGCCTAGCTCTGATTCCTATACCAGAGTGCCTGTCAGAATCACCTGGGGTGCTCTTAAACTGTAGTTCTTTTTAAGCATTTGTCCTGTCTCTCTTGGAGTAATCAAAAGGACTTCTTATTAAAATGCTATAGTTAATACATGGAAAAAAACGATACAATATTACCATTGTACTACTTCTAATGAGTTGAGGAATCTGTGCAGTGATCACTAGTAGCCACTGACATCATGAAGAGTGACAGCTGGGAATCACATACGTCCTGAGGAAAGTACACATCGCCTATGAAGGACACATACCAGAAAATCAAAACCTAATCTGATCTAGCCCCTGGATCTAACTACCAATTGAATTACATACAGGAGAAATAAGATAAATTAAATGACACCATGGAGATTCAATCAGCAAAATCCAGAGTGCAGGAAATGCTACAGGACCAACAGCTAATTTCTCCAACAAATGAATTACTAGATGTCAAAACAAGAGCAGAAGAGGGGGAACCTACAAACTGAAAAGACTTAAGAGATATATCAACCAACTGAAATGTATGGGCCTTATTTTGTCCAGATTTGGTTTTTAAAACGTTTATTTACAAGTTATGAGATAATGTGCCAGAATGTTCACAGTTTAGGGAGTCAGTGTGCTGGAAGGAGGGTGATTAGCATGATGCTGTGTGGGAAAATTCTCATGGTGGCTTTCTAAGCTTATTCTTTAAAAACAAAACAAAACATTTTAGGTTGGCAGAAATTGCACACTCCCTTCTGAAGTTGGCACCATACGACACCCAGACAATGGAGAGCCGTGGGCTTCGACGCTACATCATGGAGATGCTCCCTATCACCGACTGGACAGCCGAGGCAGTGAGGCCGGCCCTTATCCTCATTTTAAAGAGATTGGATAGGATGTTCAACAAAATTCATAAGATGCCTACTTTGAGGTGAGGAGGCCTCCTAGTCAGCTTTTGGTATTACAAGCTTCAAGCTGCAAGTTTGTCATTTTTGAAGGTGGTGGATCAATCCGCAGTTGAATGAATAGCTCAGAAGTGTTCGGTCGGTTATATGTGCAGAGCTAATCAGGTATACGAAAGCATAAGTAGCAGGGTCTATATTTTGTGGAAATAACATATTCTTCCAAAAACTGTATTTATCTTGAAAAATCTATTTCTTAGCTATCACGTTCCTTATCTGACACACATAAGAAATTCAATGTGTATCCTTCAATTCCTTTCAAAGTAAGGCAAGCTATGCCTTATGAATTAAACAACTAAGGAGAGAAGAAAAATTAGCTTGATGTTCAAAAATGTGTACTTAACATAGTATTTTAGGTACCAGTTTATAGAAATGCCAAGCTTTACAATAATCAGCGAAGCAGCAGCTAAAGAGCTCTCAGGGTTGATAACAAATACCTAATTTTCACCTTTTCACCTAATTCAGGTGGTACTAAATCAATGTTATTGCCACTTGCCCTCCACTCAGTGGCCTGAAATATCAGTTGGTAGCCTTTCTGTGAGCAGATGCCTCCGAACCAGGCTACCTGGAGTTCTGAGCCCAGTTTGGAAACCTATAGCCACAGTGAGAAGATACATCAATTGATAAATGCTAATAAACCCACTAGTTTGGAAATTTCCACTTTGGGTTAGTGAGACCATTTTCTGTCCTGTTAAACTAAACCCCAAATCAATGCAACTCTTGCCCAAGAATCTGTAGCATTTACTGTTCAATTTGTCAGAACTTTTCCAGGTTTTATCCTGTGCTCTTTTCATTTATGCAGCCATCAGAAGCTGTTGAATTTATTAAAAAGAAATTGAAAGATTTTATTCTAATAATGGACAGTTTGATCCTATATTCTTTTCTACCGTGATGATGGATGCCTATATGTTATTTCAAGGTTATTTATTTTAGTAGCATAGAAATGAGTATCCTTAAAGCACTCCTATTTTCTTTAGTGGTCCCAGTGGAACATCTGTGCCTGTTGGCAAATGGCCAGTCTTATAAATCTCACAAGGGTGTGTTAAAATAACGTTTCTTCTGAAGATGTTAACATCTCCATAGGCTAACTCATTTATCATATAACTAAACCCATTATAAAGAACAGCAGTTTCCTAAAAGTAGACGTCTGGATAAATTTATAGACTTGATTAATTGTAGGCAATTTTCTTGGTGTGCATACTGTGAATCTGGGGTTGCCTTGGATTTAATTTCTTCAGGTGATCTCAGTTCAACAAGAGAAATGTTGACTGAACCTAACCTGTAGGTTACTTGAGCATCAGGAATGTCAACATATCCTCATGTATGAATGTTTCCATTTTGTCATTGTAGAGATTTCAATTTGGTAGGCAATATAAGCTTAGAAATTATTTCCAGGAAATAACATTGATCTCAGTAAAGCCCAACTTGTTTATTTAGGGGGCCACAGAAATGACTCTTTAGTACTGAGACAATTACAGACCAGATTGTTTTCTATTACAGAAAATCTCATATTCATCTAATTGGGTTATGTATACCACCATTTATACTACCATAGAATGTAGCCCCAAAATATCATTTTTTAGGAGGCAAAGAAAGAACACTTTTTAAATAGACTGTTTTCCTCCAATGCCATCTTTTTGGCAAGAGTTAAGCCATATAAATCTAATTAGTTGCAGTCTGGTATAAAAACTGATGAGATCAACTGTAGTCTGATAAAAAAACATTTCAGAAACACAACCTATAGTCAAATTAGTTCTACTGGGAGTAATGACTCCTATGATGGGTTTCCTAAAATAGTAGTCTCATACCCTCTCTCATAGTTAAAACTAGGAAACTTGAAATGCCACCCATTCATCATCTCTGTTTTTTCTTCAATAGATTTTGTCTCATTAGTCGAGTGGGGCAGGAGTGCCTCTGCTACGTTTTCAGTATCCTCTTCCCTTCCTAATGTGCTCTGTACTTTTGGAACAACGTGGGTAAACTTCCTCCCCTCTGAAGCATTTTGTTGTCTCAGACACCCATCCTGTCTTAGATGGCGTCAGAATCACTGTCTCATTCACTCGTTTCAGACAGTCTCCAGAAGGGAGCCACGCTGCTAATGGCTCCTATATTGTATTCCAGGCGACAGGTTGAGTGGGAGCCTGCCAGCAATTTGATTGAAGGGGTTTGTTTGACACTTCAGAGGCAGCCAATCATATCCTTCCTGCCTCACCTTAGGTCACTGATCAATGTCTGTGTCAATCTGGTGAGTAGCCAAGTGGCAATCTTATGAAACTTTACAAAATTTAACTCTGCTATTGATTTCTCTGAATGGAAGATTTACAGGTCAACCTATCTACCTACACACCTACCCATGAAAACAGACGGCTCAGGTGACACTGAAAATAGTGAGGTACATTTCAAGGTAGCGTGTGGGGAGATCAAGGGGCCCGTCCCTCTACAGATGGGATTTTGGTGTGCTGCTTCCCACGCACTACTTTGACAATTGACCTCTTCAAGTTGCGCTGAGAGTTGAGGGCTGCCAGTTGGAGAGTGGGGTGGCGGGAGACTGCACAATTGGCTAGAAGTTGAAGTAGTCTGGGGTGGGGGAGATTAAAATGCAAAGAGGATTTTTTTTTTTCTTTCTTAGTGAAAAATCACATTATGGGTTGGCCAGTCTAGGATTTACATGAAAACAAAAAATTTTTTATCAGTTATGTAATATCTAGAGTCTGGTCCTGACAAGGTTTTGTACAATGTGGAAACCATGGTAGAGCATTTCATTGAATAGAATCTGCTGGTTAGCTAGTTGAGCAATAAATCTGTAGCTGGAATGCCTAGTGCAAGTAGAGCTCTTGCCATCATCATCGTTGTCAGCATTTGCTCCATCAAAGAATGTTGATTGCATTCCTTTGAGTCCACAAGTAAGTATGTCCAGTCTCCTGCTTAGAACAATTTTGGGTTCATCTCTCATTATTTACATAGTTAGTTATAAGCAACATTCTACAAAACCTTGGCTGAATCCAGTGTAATCGTTTGATCTGACTCCAGACATTACATGCCTTCAAAAGAAGGCAATACGAACAGATTGAAAGTAACATGCCCAACCTTCAAATTTTTTATTATCATTATCATTATTTTTATTATTATTGACTGAGACTCCCTTACTACAGTTGCATGAAATTGCAATAGTCAAGGCTGGTCATGTGCTCTGTTTGTATTTCAGGTGATGGGAGTGGTAGGACCCTCCAGTGTTGCTGATGGATTACCCCTTCTTCATCTCAGCCCTTATCTCTCACCACCTCTGCCCTTCAGCACAGCTGTTGTCCGGCTTGTAGCATTGCAGATACAGGTGTGACTGCCTTACCTGTTTGTCACGCTCATTACGTTGCTGGTTGAGGCACCTGATCATGGTGTTCTCTTTTATTTTTCTGCAAAGGCTGGGCAAAATCTGTGAAACAGAAGTGTAAACATCTCCAGACTTTTACAGTTTTGGAGCTTCAGCCCTGAGCTTGGTCCTAAAGTTGTGCTTCTGTAATTCTTCTTGAGATCTCAAAAATAGCAGAGTCATTTAGTCCTGCCACAACCTCAGGAGCCGCTTCCGTCGTTTAAAACGTGTGTCAGTACCTTAGGAAAATAATGGTTCACAGATAACCAGCTCACAATTGTTAATTAAAAGAGGCAGTAATGTTCAAAGTCTGGTTTTAAATTATTTGCAGAAAGAATTGCAGTAAAAAAAATTCAAATATTATTACTAGACTTTGAATATCTTAATTTTCTTTGACGATTGTGGGCTGAATATTGCGGGTGCTTTTTTTAATCATTTTTCTCCCACTTCTTTTATTTCCTAAAATTAAAATAATCATTCCCAAAGCAAAAAAGTATAGAATGCCAGTTTCCCTGCCTATTTCTGTGTGTCACCTAACTTTAAAGAGTGATAAATCACCAGAAAGCTTTCTGACCAATGGGAAGTATAGAATGGCTGTAAACGGATAACCGACCCATCCATTATCTGACAACCAAGCTTGATGGTCCATCATCCAGAGAATGGTTAGATGATGGAAAAGAGATTAAGCAAGCGCTGTGGCTACCAGGCAGAAGGGAAATAAAGACATCCCTAAAGTGACACATTTTGACAACACATATACAGAGATCATTTATTTCTTTTTATATTGTCTGTTGCTTTCTGGCTTGGAGAAGGTCTTATACAGGGGAGAGGATTTTTAAATAACTCCCCAGTGGAGCAGGTGGCAAGTTCTCCTTTTCTTTGGTCGCTAAAGTATTTATTGGTGGACACATGGATAAAATGAATGGGGAAGTGCAGTTGTTTTTGTACCAGACTATAAGTGTCATGATTTTTCATTTGATATTCAAGATGTTGCTGTTTTTTAGGTATATAGCTCTCAATTATGTCAAACAAATGGTAAAGTATCGGTTTGGGGTGAATCTTGTATGCTGCACAGATGACAGTTGAACTCCTAGTTTGCAGGTGCAGCCATCAGGGAGTCCCCGTCTCCTCCATGCTGTGTAAAAACAAACAGACTGAATGGGTGAGGGGGTCAATTAATCTTTTTTTCTATTATTGCTGCACAGGCTTTAAAAGAAGATTTTCCTTTAAGCCATGTGATCTCCCCATTCACCAATCAAGAGCGAAGGGAGGGGATGCTTTTAAATCTGCTCATCCCATTTGTGCTCACAGTAGGATCTGGAAGCAAAGGTCTGATTAATTTAACTAAAGGAAAATTTATCATTGTTGTTGTGTTTTCTTAAGTGTCAGGCTGTTATTTCTTCCTTTTCCCATGAAGGCCGTCATTGAAGTTGATCTGAATGATTTAAACAAGGGTATCTTAGGAAATAAGAGTTTTTCTTTCTTTTCAGTTTAGCTGCCCTTGGTCAAGACTGTCTCTGCTCTACTTAGAAGATACATCCTATTTAAAAGCATTTCAGTACAGCAAAAATCAGGAGAGCATTGTTTCAATTAAGAAAATGGTATTAACTGAAGTACAGGATGATGTGAATTGACAGAGAATGGACTGGATAACCTACTGCCACTAGGTTTAGTGTAAATCCTGCCACTGTCACTAAATTCCAATATGTTTTCATTACTCTTACTTCTTGGGGGATTTTTTCTTTTAGGAAAAGTTTATCTCAAACATAAAGACAGTGCATTATGAGTATTTGAGCAGAAAAAAAAAACAAAACAGAAAGCAGATTGAAATGGTAAGCGGGAGATTTGGCTAGGAGCAGGGACCCTTGGGTGCTGACTACGGAGGAGACACCCAGTACCAGGAGCGTTGCCTCTGTCCATAGGAGAAGCTGTACTTGGTGGGGAAGGCACTCGAATTTCTAGGGTGTTCTAGTTTGGAATTGGAGAAAGAGCTGAATTTTTCTGTGTCTAACGTGGAAAGCCTACCTTGTGACTTGCTTTTCTTTCCACTTCCTCCTTACAAACTCTGCCCGGCAGATAGCCCATGGCTGGAGCAGCCTGAGGTGCAGCTGCTACTGCAGACAGTCATTAATGTGCTCCTGCCTCCACGGATCATCAGCACGTCCAGAAGCAAGAGCTTCATGTTGGAGAGCTCCCCCGCTCACTGCTCCACCCCCGGGGATGCAGGCAAAGACCTGCGCAGGGAAGGGCTGGCAGAGCCCACCAGCCAAGCAGCATACTTGGGTGGGTACTTCTCTCTAGATAGGTAGGTAGGTAGGTAGGCAGGTAGATAGAGAAATAGAAAGATATAGATATATACACACATATGTATATGTATACATGTATATATGTATGTACATATGTACTTATTTAGTTATGTTCCACCTTGACTCAAAAAGTATTTTATTTTTTTTTACATCTTTATTGGAGTATAGTTGCTTTACAGTGGTGTGTTAGTTTCTGCTTTATAACAAAGTGAATCAGCCATACATATACATATGTCCCCATATCTCCTCCCTCTTCCGTCTCCCTCCCTCCCACCCTCCCTGTCCCACCCCTGTAGGTGGTCACGAAGCACCGAGCTGATGTCCCTGTGCTATGCGGCTGCTTCCCACTAGCTATCTGTTTTACGTTTGGTAGTGTGTATATGTCCATGCCACTCTCTCGCTTTGTCACAGCTTACCCTTCCCCCTCCCCATGTCCTCAAGTCCATGCTCTACAAAAAGTATTTTAAAAGACCTCAATCCAGAAAGTATTTAGAGAAGCCACTTCAGCACGTACAAAGCATCACCCTTGACTTCTACTTTCCCGTTACCCTATCCCTGCTGTGACTGGGTGGAGTACTAATAAGTATTCGACCATTCCATGTGACCCATGGAATACTAACAGCTACTCCTTGACTAGAATGAACTAAGCTGGGGAGAAATGACCACTGTTGCCACAGCACTGAGACTAAGGAGTACTGGCAACAGAAAATCTCAAAAGGAGGAAGCTGAAAAAATCTTGCCTGACATTTTTCAATTCACCAAAGCAGACCTTGGTGGGGAGTATAAGATGAAAGCAGACACAATGGTAAAAACAGGTTCTTCAGGTCCTTGGACTTTGGAGTGTGTGTGTGTGTGTGTGTGGCGGGGGGATGTTTGGACTGCATTACTGAGGAATGTATTTGAAAATGATGTGATTGACAATGAGAATGAAAAAGGAAAAAAAGAAACAAGGCTGCATGTGCATAGGACTTGCCCGTGTGGGGCATGGTTGCCAGAGACGTGAGGTTGTAGGGTTCAGATAAAATCTAGACTCTGGCACAGAGCCCTGCATGAGGTTTAGGACTGTACAGAGGATGGTGGGAAAAGAGGCCTTAGCATGTAAGACAGGGATAGGAGAAAACACTTAACGGGTAACTATCTTCCGTTCTCTCCACTTTCTGCCTTTTCTTAAAAATTGAAGTATAGTTGATTTACAGTGTTGTGTTAGTTTCAAGTGTGTAGCAAAGTTATTCAATCATACATACATACATAACTTTTTTTTTCAGATTCTTTTCCCTTATAGGTTATTACGAAATATTGAGTATAGTTCTTTGTGCTATACAGTAGGTCCTTCCCTGTTATCTATTTTATGTATAGTAATTTGTATAGGTTAATCCCAAACTCCTAATTCATCCCTCCCCCCTTCCCCTCTGGTAACCATAAGTTTGTTTTCTATGTCTTTGGGTCTATCTGTTTTGTATATAAGTTTATTTGTATCATTTTTTTAGGTTCCACACATATGAGTGATATCATAGGATACTTGTCTTTCTCTGACTTACTTCACTTAGTATGACAATCTCTAGGTCCATCCATGCTGCAGCAAATGGCATTATTTCATTCTCTTTATGGCTGAGTAATATTCCATTGTATAAATATATCTCATCTTTACCCATTCATCTGTCGATGGACATTTAGGCTGCTTCTGTGTCTTGGCTATTGTAAATAGTGTTGCTATGAACATTGGGGTGCATGTATCTTTTCGAATTATGGTTTTCTGCAGATGTATGTCCAGTAGTGGGATTGCAGGATCATATGGTAGCTCTATTTTTAGTTTTTTAAGGAAGCTCTGTACTGTTCTCCATAGTGGCTGTACCAGCTAACATTCCCACCAACAATGTAGGAGGGTTCCTTTTTTCCACACCCTCTCCAGCATTTATTTGTAGACTTTTTGATGATAGCCATTCCAACTGGTGTGGGGTGACACCTCGTAGTTTTGATTTGCATTTCGCTAATTAGCGATGTTGAGCATCTTTTCATGTACCTTTTGGTCATCTGTATGTCTTCTTTGGAGAAATGTCTATTTAGATCTTCTGCCCATTTTTTGATGGGGTGTTTTTGTTTTTTTCTATTTTCTGCTTTTTTAATGAAGGTGAATCCTTTGGTTACTTGGCCAGGCTACTGGACCTCTATTTTAAATTTATTTTTACCTTTATTCTGAGCATTTAGTGTGCACTAACGAGTGTTTTCTATACTTTACATTATCATCACTTTGAATCCTCACAACAACTCCAAGAAGTACATATCCTCACTTTAGGAGGGAAGAGGCTAAGCCCCAGAAAGGTTGAATAACTTACCTAAAGTCACACTGTCAATAAGTAGCAGAGCCAAATTTCAGATCGAATCCATCCAGCACCAGAATCCCTGAGCCCTTTGCTATCCTGTTTGTGTGTTGGGCTGTTGCTGGTGAAGGTGGAAAGCAGAAAGGCAGAAGCCCAAAGAAGGCCAACAGGCACATAACAGGTAGAAATGTCACCAGGATCAGAGTAGGGTTAGAGGAGTGTTGCTTTTTGTTCGTATGTTTGTTATGATGAGGGAGAGGAATAGAGGTGAGTAGATGTGGAAGGAAGAATCTTACAACTCTCTCTGTGTTATATGACGTGGTTTTCCCTTGGAAGTGCCCTAAATAGATGGTAAAGGTGTAGGTGACTCCTGAGGGCTTTAGGGAATTGGATTTCTATGTGTCTTCTAGATGCTGAGATGGGCCTTAAGACGTGATGAAGAAGGCCCAGGTTTCCTTGACTGCCCCATGGGAGACCCTGTGGGGAGAGCCGGGTGGTAGAGGAAGCCCTCACCATAATCTCTGACGTTTTTACAATATTCTGGTTTGTCCTGACACACTGTTTGGGAAATCTGCTTCCTGAAAATAAATTTTAAAATGTAGATTGTGACAAGGCTGCCAGAATCTGGAAGAAAAGAGATATTGTTAAAGAAATCCAACACGGTTTAGCAAGAGACATCGTGAAAGGTGGAGGAGGGAAGATAGTGTTTTCTTTTCTGGAAGGATTTACTGGTTACTCTGGGGAAGAGTTTAGGATGGAATCAGGAAGGGAGTAGGAAGGGGAAGGACTACTTTTTTAAACTTTATGCATTTCTGCACGGTCTTGATTTTGCTTTTATTAGCAAGAATATATTATCTCTGAGCTTAAAAGAAAAATAGTTTAAAACACCCATGTTTTAGTTTCAGATGTGAGTAATACGCTGGTATTACCATGAAGCCACTATGACAAAACTCTTAGAAGTATTAGCCACACATCATGTTTATACCACATTTCCCTTTCAATTCTGTGAAGAGCTTTGGTTTGTATTTTCCAAAATAGTAGTTAAATGCACTTAAGAAAGATATATGTGTTCTTTTAATCAGAATCAAAGCATGTTTACCGTAGAAATTTGTCTTGATGTCAGAACACTGTCACTCAGGAGTACGCTCAAGTCTTTGGAAACAGAGAGAGAGTTTAGACATTTAGAAATTAGATACGTAAAAAGGCTGTGGATGTGGGCAGCTGGATGTGGGCAGGGTTCCTCCGAAGCACAAGTCTGCAGGCTCACTTGTGTCTTTTCCTGGTGTGAAGCGCTGAAGGTGATTCTCGTCTGCTTTGAGAGGCAGCTCGGCAGCCAGTGGTACTGGCTGAGCCTCCAGGTGAAGGAGATGGCCCTGAGGAAGGTCGGCGGCCTGGCCCTGTGGGACTTCCTCGACTTCATCGTGCGGACCCGCATCCCCATCTTCGTGCTCTTGCGCCCTTTCATCCAGTGCAAGGTGTGCTTCTCCTCCAGGAAGTGACAAGCCCCGTGAATGTGCTGCTTTCCAGAGCAGGGCAGGATGACAGCAGCAGTCTCGGGGCATGTGCTATATAGCTAGTCAGGAGGACGTGTTAATACCATGCTTGACGAGAAATCAGCCCAAACAGGTATCCCAGAGGATAAAATTTCATGTTAGAAGTACCTTCACAGTAAGAGCTTAATTAACGTCAGTGAAACTTTGCCCTCTCCCCATTTACCAACCCCTCAAGAAACAAAGGTTGACCGGATAAAAAGATCTGAAGAATGGTCTCTTGTCTTCAGGGACATGACTGAGACCTGATTTTAAATAAACATGGGAAAAATGAGATAGTTAAAGCATGTTTTTCCTCTGAGACCCTCAGTATTCATCTACTCTTTTATTCTTTTCATGCCTCGATTTACGGGCACTGTGATTCAAAGCAACATATTGATTAAGCACTTCCTAAGCACTGTTCTAAGAACTTTGTATGCGTTACCTTATTTAAGCTTCACCACCAGCTATGAAATAGATACAATAATTAGCTCATTTTACAGATGAGAAAATTGAGGACCTGAGAATCTATGCCTTCCTTTCAGCTTCTGGCCCAACCAGCAGAGAACCACGAAGAGCTTTCTGCCCGACAACATATCGCTGACCAGCTGGAACGGCGTTTCATTCCACGCCCTCTGTGTAAGAGCTCCCTCATTGCTGAGTTCAATAGTGAACTAAAAATTCTAAAAGAGGCAGTTCACAGTGGATCAGGTAAGTATGCAAGGGGTATTTTCAATTTGTTTTACTCATGGAACTTACAACCTACAAAGAATGCCTCTTTTTCCAGGTCACTGCTCTTTTTGGAGCCAAGTATGCATTAGCCATTTCAGTACAACTGGTAGATTTGACCCTGTGATCCTTGTCAACAACAAAACAAATCAAGGGGGATATCATAAGAGTTTAATTGTATTCCTTTTTTGAATATTTTATTTTCAATCTTTATTTCAGTAGTTCGGCTTTTTCTTGAATATTTAGCTGGGGGGGGGGAACCTATTTAAATTCTTACCTTCATTTCCGTTTTGAAAAGGAGGAGGGAACTCACATTCATTGAGCGTCTGTTATGTGATAGATTATGTCATAGCTGTTATTTAATCCACACAAATACCTGCAAGATGCATAACTGAAAGTCTGCTTATAGAATGAAGAAACTGAGACTCAATAGAGGTTAAATAACTTACACACAAAGACAGTGACACCAGTGAGGGGACTTAAAACTGGGTCTGTGTGATTGATGATAAAATTCACAAATTGGAGGGAGAGAGGGTTGAATAAAAACCGGCAGGCTAGTTTACATTATTCAAAAGATTTTCTTTGGGAATGCATTATTTACTTTTATAATTATATTAATTGCAGGTCACCAAGGAAGGAAAATAAATCATTACCTGCCATTAGAGGGCAGTCATTACCCATAAGTAGAAGACTATCATCCATGTGGCTTCTTTTTCCTTTCTAAAACTTTTAGTGTTGTTCTCAATGTATTAAAGACCAAAAAACTGACAAATACAATCTTGGTGAAATCTACTCAGGGCCATTCAAATGTTCTGCTTTATAATAAAATAATATAACATAGAACCAAGGGGGTGTTTTATAAATTGTAATCTCCAGAAAAGGGGACTAAGAACACAGTTTTAATTATGTATTCTCATTTTGATTGTAAGGTTCCTTTCAGACAATGTATTTATTACTTCTGTATGCTTGGGTCAGGTAATGTACATTTCTCAGTGAAAAAATGAATTTGCGTTCTGCCAGCCTTGGAAAACAAAACTGAAAAACAATGACAGAGGGAGCAACATCAAAACATTTTATATTGTTAGAGATATTCTGCTCCCCCAAGAAAATTATTCAATTATAAGTACATCAGTGGCCAATTCTCTCTTTTTTTTTTTTCTTCCCACCATTTTCAGTTCCATTTGCTACTTTGTCCTAAAGATCATCTATCTGGGACATACTATTTGAATGACCTTTCCTTAAAAAAATATAAGTTGTCTGGGAGGAGCTTGAAGCTAGCATTTGTTTTCTTTCAAGATCCTCACCATGGATTTTCTTTGGTCTCTCAACCCCGCTAGCCTACCAAGGGAAGACATCCATCAGCACCGTGGGTACCTCCACCTCTGCTTACCGCCTGAGCCTGGCCACCATGTCACGCTCCAACACAGGCACCGGCACAGTCTGGGAGCAGGACAGTGAGCCGTCCCAGCAGGCTTCACAGGACACCCTGAGTCGAACTGATGAGGAAGATGAGGAAAGTAGGTCACCCTGCAGAACCTGGGGTGGTGGGAGGTGGGAGGTCATGTGTGACCCAGCTTGGCCATGTGCATGAGGGCTTGGGAAGGATTTCTACCTTCCTGGCCTTTCTCAGTTCTGATCCTCTGGTCGTTTTTACAAAAAGGATTTAAAATGGAATTGTGACTGATCCCATGACTTCTAATGCCTGCTTTTCTATAAATTCCTTGATATCCTTGGTCATTTGGTAGGAGTTCAGGCAAAAAGTAAATCTTTTTTTTTTTTTTTTACATCTTTATTGGAGTATAATTGCTTTACAATGGTGTGTTAGTTTCTGCTTTATAACAAAGTGAATCAGTTATACATATACATATGTCCCCATATCTATTCCCTCTTGCGTCTCCCTCCCTCCCACCCCTCCAGGCGTTCACAAAGCACCGAGCTGATCTCCCTGTGCTATGCGGCTGCTTCCCACTAGCTATCTACCTTACGTTTGATAGTGTATATATGTCCGTGCCTCTCTCTCGCTTTGTCACAGCTTACACTTCCCCCTCCCCATATCCTCAAGTCCATTCTCTAGTAGGTCTGTGTCTTTATTCCTGTCTTACAAAAAGTAAATCTTTAGTGACCCCTAAGTTTTCTTTGAGCTTATGTATTCAACCTTTTCACTAACTCATTTAAATTGTGGTTAAGTAATGAAGGGGAGCGTTTATTCCCCTTTCTCCTGGCCATCTTGCTTAGAAGGTCAGTCAGTACTTACATGACCCGATTGGGCAAGGAAAAGTGAGCACTGCATATGCTTATGACTCAGAAAAGACCAGCCAGCTATATTATCTAGAGTGTAAAGCAGCAGACTGTCTCGAGGGCATACAACCCAATTTGAGTTAAGAGTGTCCCCAGTAACTGAGGCAGCCAGGAGCTTCTAAAGATTTGGTGAAATGAGGGAAAATCCAGTTAAGAACACGCTTCCATATATATGCATAATAGTTTTAAAAAGTAAAAGGTGAAAGGTTTCATAAATACCCCTGTCATTTAATGTTTTTCTCACTGTATCGATTATTTTCCAGTTGTGTTTCAAAGACACTCTGATACAACATTTAGAGCAAAGTGTACTGTCAATGCCTTATGAAAACAAAATCTAGATCTTCACTCAGAGCCCCTCTGTACCAAACAACAACAAAAAGCCACACTCTGGGACTTCCCTGGTGGTGCAGTGGTTAAGAATCCGCCTGCCAATGCAGGGGACACAGGTTCGAGCCCAGGTCGGGGAAAATCCCACATGCCGTGGAGCAACTAAGCCCGTGTGCCACAACAACTGAGCCTGTGCTCTAGAGCCCACGAGCCACAACTACCGAGCCTACGTGCTGCAACTACCGAACCCCGTGTGCCTAGAGCCTGTGCTCCGCAACAAGAGAAGCCACTGCAAGGAGAAGCCCGCACACTGCAACAAAAGTAGCCCCTGCTCACCGCAACCAGGAAAAACCCGTGTGCAGCAATGAAGACCCAATGCAGCCAAAAATAAATAATTTTTTTAAAAAAGCTGCACTCTGAACTAAATTAAATAGAGTTGAGGTTAGAATTTTAATTAAGATGAATGAAAGTATTTTAATACCCTACTACAGTTGGATGTGTAGGAGAAGGAAAGAAATAACTGCTCTGTCAAAGCATGCATCAGTGGACTTCCCTGGTGGTGCAGTGGTTAAGAATCTGCCTGCCAGTGCAGGGGACACGGGTTCGAGCCCTGGTCCTGGAAGATCCCACATGCCGCCTAGCAACTAAGCCCGCGAGCCACAACTACTGAGCCCGAGTGCCACAACTACTAAAGCCCACACGCCTAGAGCCTGTGCTCTGCAACAAGAGAAGCCACCCGATGAGAAGCCTGCGAATCACAACAAAGAGTAACCCCCGCTCGCCGCAACTAGAGAAAAGCCGGTGCGCAGCAACAAAGACCCAGGGCAGCCAAAATTAAAATTTAATTAATTTAAAAAAATTTTTTTTAAAAAGCGCACATCAGTAATATTTCCAGATTTAGTTTCAGGGTTAAGTAAATAACAAAGTGATAGTCATACTGTTCTGCACCAGACCTACAGACTATTTGTTTTGAAATCATTGCTCATGGAAATAACCCTAAGATTATAATTAGGGAAATCATGAAAGACCTTGACAAAAAAAAAAATGAGAGAGATAAGGATCAGCAGTTCGAATATTCAATATAAGTCCTAGTAATAGTCCAGAACTTAAAGTAATATCTATTTTTCTTTAATGGTTGAAGTAGTCTCTCCAAGAAAATTTTTAAATATGGCAAACGATAACAACCTCTCTTTAATAAAGCTAAATATATTTTGCAAGTAACCTTATGAATTAGAGGATGACCAAGCCAGTAGGAAGGAAGTAGAGAAGAAAAGTAGAGAAGACATAAACAGAGAGAGCAATGACCAAAGGCCAACACTCATACACTTACAAGTATGCAAGTTTTTGCTAATATCTCTGCTCTCAAACATCACAACCATCCAATGACAACAGGGTTGCTAACACACAATGTGGTGTGATTGTGATGTGGGTGTGTATTAATTTATAAGGTGGGGTATGAAAGCTAGAGGGTTGACACCTTTGAATTAAACATTTTTTCCGTTCAATCATCAAACCTGTATTAGGACCTAGCAGGAACAAGATGAGGAATAAGAAAGTATGAGAAAGATATATTCTCTGCTCTCTAAAATCTTAGATACAGTCTTGTAGAGGAGATGACAGACATTTTTGATAAAGAACACTTAACAAAAGTGTAAATGAGGGACTTCCCTGGTGGTCCAGTGGTTAAGACTTCGCCTTCCAATGCAGGGGATGTGGGTTCAATCCCTGGTCGGGGAGATAAGATCCCACATGCCTCACGGCCAAAAAAACCAAAACATAAAACAGAAGCAATATTGTAACAAATTCAGTAAAGACTTTAAAAATGATCCACATCAAAAAAGTCTTTAAAAAAAAAAAAGAGTGAATGACACAGCACATGATTAATCACCAAACAAATATTGAAGGAGTAAGTGTTAAGTGATATATGAGTTTGGATAAGAGAGAAAAAAGTCAATGGAATTTCAGAAAGGTCTTAGTAGAAATAGCTCAATCTACCCTACCACATTTTTTTTCATGTTTTTAGGACATATTTGATTATTCTCTTCTCTATGAACACATCTAAAAAGGAAATACCATTCTATAACAAGAATCAACTTCAAGTCAGTTATATAGCAAATTAAAATTTTTAGCACTTTTCGTATTCGCCTCTTTGGTTTGAAATAAATTTCACTAGCAATATGACCACTTGGGATATTTTAAATAAATGATGTCAGACAACCTTACATGGTAGCATAAGTTCACCAAGATTCTATGTCAGTCAAGATGTGTTTTCTGTTCAGTTACAAACAATATTTGCTCACTGAGAATGAGGTCTCCTTGTCACAAATTATTGTGCTAAAGTTAATTTTCATATGGATTTGAATACATTAATTTCAGCTTCTATGGAGAAAGCAAGACTGCTTCAAACTTTAAATTTAGGTTAAAATAAGCACTTGTTTCTGAACTTTATAGGTTTTTAAATATTTTTCCAAAAAATACCTGAAATAGTCTTTCCCTCAGCAGTCTAAAAATCATGAAATGTACTGAATGTAGTGTTTGAATTTCAAAAATGCTTGATTTGTTCAATAACAAAGTCCCTTACTGAACTATTTCTGGAATGTTTAAAACTTATAGTCCAGCTTTTCCGAAATCTTTAATTTGCAGATGCCCCTTGATTTTTACAAATAACCTACTTGTAGAAATGGACAAGAAGTTTACATATATTTCATGAAGGCTGTTTGAGGGTGGGAGATTTGTAGATGGGAAGAATTATCCTTCATCCCTTTGTGCAGATTAAAAACCAAGCCCCCAAAGGTCTTTTATTTTTTTTTTCAAGATGGAGATACATTCATGAAGTTTTACTGAAGCTGTTTCCCTCACCCAAATGAAGTAACCAGTCACTTTAACTCAAAGTTCTGTTCGTATTCTCAAAATGACACTGTTCAGTAACCCTAGAGGCTCAGCTGTTAAAGTCTCTGGTTTTATAAAAATAGTGAAGATGTTTCTTAAGGCCCCAAAGGTCTTAGTTTTGAATCTGTACAAAGGGATGAATGATAATTTAGCTTTAGATACTGCCCTAAGTTTGCATACAAGCCAAGGATGGAACCCAAGTACAAAGCTGGTCTGGGTTTTCTGGTCCACATCACAGTTTCCTAACACTCCCTTCTCTGGCCCTTTCAGATGACTCTGTCAGCATGCCCAGTGTGGTAAGTGAACAAGAAGCTTACCTCCTGAGTGCCATTGGAAGGAGGCGGTTCTCCAGCCATGTCTCCAGCATGTCTGCACCTCAGGCTGAGGTGGGCATGTTACCCAGCCAAAGGTAAAGAGCCACGAATATGTTATGCTCTGCCTTTGGGGGCAAAGGTAGAAATTCTGAAAACTCACTCCTGTTATTCTAAAAAAGGACTAAAGAGAAGCAAACAATCAATGTTGTTAAGTAGACCATTCAAACAACTTTTCAACGAGGGTTGCACAGGCAACAACTTGCGGAGAGTTTTCTAAGCCAGGCCAGTAGAAGGGATCTCAATTTCTGATCCAAACATTGTTTCTCCTTAAAATTTTTCTATAAACAGATATATGGTCTTCTTTCATGGTCTTCTTTCAGATGACATTCTTGTGTTTCAGCTATAACATCAGCTAAGCTAATAACGAGTACCTGGCAAGTGTATAGGACTAGCTTGATATATGTGGTAGTTTAGACTTCTGGTGTATCGTCAGTATTTAGTTGGAGGTAGTGATGCTTAACCAAGCAGAAGAAGACCTATGCCACTATGTGTGACATTGGGCAGGTCATTTAACAGGAGCCCACTGTTTTCTCCTCTGTGAAATGAGAGGTTAGCTAAAGTTGGTCTTTAAGGTAACTTCTCTACCTAGAGAGTTTTATGTTTCCATAGCTAAACTCTTTAAAACATTTTCTTTGGTGTTCTCTGCCCTCTAAGAATATAGATTTAAAACTTTATATATATAGTTTACCATATATATGGTTATATAGGAAATGATCTGACATAAGAAATAAAACATTATCTATTTCAGAGGCAGTATTTTTACTTCAGAAACTGAATTCTTTAAAAGAATCAGTCTTATGTGTTTTTTATCTAGTTTGTTGTTTATTCTTATTACCTATAGAGTCATTGTGGTATAACTTATACACGGAGAATAAGAACAATCAGGGCACATGCTAATGATCAGATAAAATTAGTTTACATGCAGAAATAATTACCCTAGATCTATACCCTTTAGCAAATCATTCCTGAACTGTACAGATGAAATAAAATTTGAGAAATAAAGCCAAACTTTGGAGAATATTGAAAAAATAGGGGGAAATGATAAAAGATTAATAAGTAAATTGCATACTTAAAAAGAAAGCATTATTTATGTACTATTGAGTTATTACAAAAATTGCTAGTATATAAGGATTACTATGATTGTAAGAGATTGCTTTACCTACCATTTGGTAATTTCTCTTTGAAAAGGAAGTCTTATAAATAAAATATATGAACAAAATCAGAGCCAAACTATAAAATATCCAAAAAAAAGATGTAAAGCCATACAAGCAGTTAATACTGGTAAGTGGTGATTTATGTTTAATTGCTAGAAATGTGCAAACTTCTATCAAGAATAAACGAAAACTATCTAGCAGTCTGTCTAAAAGTTTAAATTAGGGAATTTTAAGTAAAGAGTTTTTTGGTTATTTACCTAAAATAACTAGGCCATCAATTCCCTTTGTACATATCCATTAAGGAGTTATCTCATTTCTGGGGAGAAAATTTGTTCTATTACGGATATACTAGAAATCCAGAAAAATAATATAGTTAAACCCTCTGGGCTAGGGAAGGTAATTATGTCTCTGTGTGTTAGGGAAAGCCTCTTTCTGGGGATGGTTGCTATTTTTACAGTATACAATTAGGTGAACAACAATTCTCTAGAGGCGGGCACTCCAATTTTCTAAATTGTTTAATTCCATCCATTTTAACAACTATTTATTGAGTGCCTCGTGAGTACTTAGCTCAGTGCTAGGCACTGAAGGAAAGGGAGAGAAAGTATAACAGTTTCTGTTCACAAATTCCCAAATCAGTGTGATCCAAATAAATCGATAAACTAATTATTCTTTCACCAACCTGACAGGTTTCTTCTTTTGACATTTACAATTCAGTCACTAGAGGATGGAGTGAGGACGTAAATGCGAGTTCCATGTGAATTTTCCAGGGTTATCTTCCTTCCATTTGTTTACTTGCATTTTCACTGCAAAATTAGCAGGCGAAGTCGGGTTCTTTCTTTGCTTTTCTTAATGGCATCAGTTCCAAGAGTTGGGTTGTGGCAGTTCATGGTAAGTGGTTTCTGTGTGATCATGTCATAAGACACAAGAAAGAAGCAGGATCCTAATCAATGAAACATCTGTACATATGACAGGTGAAAAATCATAACCACCCAGCCAGATGGTTACCAAAGGAATGATAGTTTTGTCTTCTACATATTCATTCTGCAGTGCGTTCCAGAGCTCCCGTGTCCATTCGGAGCTCGTTTTAAGTCCCAACTCTTGACCAATAAATAGATCACTCACTCCTCTGAGAGTCGTATCCACCCAAAGCCCCTCCTCCCCGTTGCCTTGAGTCCTAGGTCTTGACAAACCCAGCACAAGGTGAAATGGTTGACTGTCTCCTTTTCCTTCCTTGTTCTGTTAAAGTTATTTATTTATCTTTGGTCCTTGGAAGCAGAAAAGTGCATGCTTTTTTTCTTTTTCTTTTATTTGTTTGCATTTTCTTTCCCTAAATGCTTCATCTCCCTACCCCTCCTGCAGTGAACCTAATGTCCTCGATGACTCCCAGGGCCTGGCCGCCGAGGGCAGCCTCTCTAGGTACAGTGTCAACGCTACCTGTGTATTGGTGTCTGTGCTGGGAAACGAGCTGTTCCCTGTCTCCTCTGTCTCTCTGTCTCCTCTCTGCCCGTCTTGGCATCGATTTCCATTCCTTGCCCTTTGTTGCTCATAAACACACGAGCCTGGAAGTCAAAGGTGTAGCCTCCTTTATTTTCAGCTTCAGAGCTCAATCAGAGATGGCCTAAAAAGTTAACTTAAAAAAAAACAAAAACAAAAAACTTCCTGGAGTTCTCCTAGGGGCTTATCCCATGGACTGTCTCAGGAGTTTGATATGCAAAATGTTAAATTTATCCCACCTAGTCATTTTCTCCCCTGCTGATACTCCTTAAGAAACATTTTTTTCAGAAGCCTTTTCATACAACTCCCCATCATTAGGAAGCCTCAGTCCAGACAGGTCTTTCAGCTAATACCGTGGATGATAAGAAAACAGTGATGCTATAATAAGAATACCAATGTCAGTACGATTTATATAATTCCCTCTCTTTGGTGCATGCAGCATGACAGGCTATTATAGTAGCTTGTTCAAACAACACTTACATAAAGAATGTCTATCCCACCACGAAGATGACCACCAAATTTGCCATGAAATATCAGACACAAACATTTCTTGGTGAGAGAAGTCTTACGATGCAAACAATGTAATGGCTTAGCTATTGGTTTAAAGCTTCAGAAAGGGGGACTGCACCTTTAACACTCAGTTAAACCACGGCAAACATTCCTAATTTTGTGCTGTTGATTCACACCTCTCAACTAATCCTCATTAGGGGTAATGCTTCTTGTTCTTGCTAAGAGTGCCTTTGTTCCATCTCAAGATAAAATATTGCCTTTCAGGTTTGCATTATAGAGTGAGTTGCACCCGTGTTTATTGCTTTATCACAAAGACGAGGAAATGTTGAGAGGCCGTTCCTGTGAAAGGTTGTCCTTTGTTTTCTTTGCATCTTGTTCAGATTTCACATTTTCTTCCACAGTTGAAAATGGGAAATTTATTCCATCATCTGGTGTATCTTTTTTTTAACTGGCCCCGTAATTCATGACATTCATTTGTGTTTGCGAGCCCCTGCCTGGACAGGTCAGTCTCTTATTGGTGGTAAATGTGGAAGTGCTGCAGAGTGCAGGCTTAATTCCATTACCGAGAGCTTTGGGGATGAGGAAGAACGCAGCAGTCCTTAGGGAGGTTTCCCTTCATTGTTCACAGTGTTGGAAGAGCTCTGAACCAAGCCTAGCACTGTGACCACTGGTTTCAAAGCATTCATTTGTTTAATGCTGAATATTACATACAAGACAGGAGAACCTAGTTAGGAAGACGATTTCAATGTCCTGTTGAGAGTAGAAAGTATTAAATCAGACTTCCATTGGGCTGACTTTGTCCCGGGCCTTTTCTAATTAGGCCAAATTCTATTCTTGCTGAGTAAAATGCTAGTCTGGGGTTGGTGAGAGAAGGCAGGAGTTTGAGTTGATTTTTATAAATTCTCCCAAGGACTTGGCCCTCTCTGGCAGGCTTAAGGGTTCAAATGACTGATCTGGAGTTGTCTAAACCAATCCAATCTGCTCTGGGTCCAGTGTTGATAGGAATAAACCCAAAGTTCTTGCTATCTGAGGGTGGTTCAGAGCCAAAACTATAGGTTTTATCTACAGTTGAATTAGTCGCTCGTGGGAGAACACTGATGACTGTTTTAGATCATCTGTTGTTGATCTGTTACTCCTGTAACTGGTGTGTTTTAGTTCTGGGCGTCAGTCACCTGGATTCATTTGTGGTCATTAAGAAACCAGAAAATGAGGCACTCACTTTGGATTCTAAATAATTCTGTAAATGCAGAGGCGTTCCAACAGCCGTAGCACGTCCACCTTTGCCATACACTGCAAATCATATCTCTTGAATTCCATCATGTCACCAAGTTCTCTTTGGAGGAGAGGAACTTTGGGCATTTACTAAGAGGTGGGTTTATAAAGGATATAGATTTCTTATATTTGGCTTCCAGGCTTTCTTATTTTTGGCATGAAACTTCTTTGTGCTGCAGACTCTTAAAATCCTAAAGAAGCAGTAAGACATTAACAATGTAAGTTACATTTAGCACATACCTGAGCGCTCAGGACCTAAAAGACACCCAGAGTAATCCTAAGGAAAACCTGACTCCAAAGCTTAAAGAATATCAGTAAGCAAGCATGCCTAACGGAAAGTAATAAACCCTGTTCCTCCTCCCAACCCCACATTTTGATAAACTTTCTGGGGATTGGCTTTTGAAAGAGCACTTGTTTTAGGCAAAATGGGCAAGTTGGTCTGAGGGCTAAATGAGGAAGAGACCAGGATAATAGTATAACCTGATGAATAGGTGGAAACCAATAAAAATTTTGCAGACCTTTAGAAAATTTCTTCTAGGATTTTTCTTTAACCTGTGCTAACTGGTTTCTTATAAAGATTCACGGCAAGAAGTATAAGCCTATTAGAATCACTATGCTGAGAAAAAATTTTATCTTTTGGAAATTAATAAACTGCAATAATATTTCATGGAAGAATTCTCTTCTTTAAGAGTGTTGCTCTTAGAAGTACAGAAACTTCATTGTAGTTCTTCCCTCCCTGTACCCACCCACAAGTACACACACCATGGACCATATTTTCTCTCCAGAAGAATATAGACATACAAAAAGTTATTCAAGCACTTAAGCCTAGAAGTTTATACTTGAGAGTTAAATTTGGTTTGGACACGTTAGAGCATTTTGAAAGGCAGGAACTGACAACCAAATATAGCTTAAAAAAAAAAGATTACAACGCTATTTGATTCTGTAAGGGTAATTTTAATTGCAGTGGAAAATAAGAATGTGACTCAAGTTTGAACAAGATATACAGTCTGGGTGAAACAAAATAAAAATAACCTATCCATCTCATGATCATCCATATTTTCAAAGTATGCAAACTTGGCAAGTACTCCCAAATTACAAAGAAAAGATTAAAACAAACTTTTTATGTAGCTGAGAATTAATAGCTAAGAAAATGTGTGTTGTGATACCCAGAGAAGTGTACTTTGCCAATGCTAAATCAGTTCTTATAGGATAACTGAGATCCAGATTATTTCCCCTTTTTATCTGATTCCAGTCTCTAATCTCTAAATTCTGTGGCATTTAAAATATATCTTCCTAGGGCTTCCCTGGTGGCGCAGTGGTTGAGAGTCCGCCTGCCGATGCAGGGGACACGGTTTCGTGCCCCGGTCCGGGAAGATCCCACATGCCGCGGAGCGGCTGGGCCCGTGAGCCATGGCCACTGAGCCTGCGCGTCCGGAGCCTGTGCTCCGCAACGGGAGAGGCCACAACAGTGAGAGGCCCACGTACCGCAAAAAAAAATTAAAAATAATATATGTATATTTTCTTGGATGTTGTGGAGGCTACGTAAATTTTAAACAATAATCTTTTACTGGGAAAGGGAAGAGTAGGATTTTGTCCACTGTTTATGTCTCTGTCCTCTATAAATGCTTTATGGCTCCTTCAGTGCTGGCTTTATGCATTCCCATCACAAGGCAAGCACTCAGGGAAAATGACTACGCTGTGTGCTTTGTACTCCCCCTACAGATTTCTCTAACCATATTAAAATTGAAACTAAAAGTACAGATAAAAGCAATGAAAATACAAATTCATTTTCTCTATACTAGTCTCACCCAGTACTTCTACTTAAAATTTTTATTTATGAAATCTATTTCTAGATTGAAATACACTTTTTTTGTACTTTGAGATGAGTGATATAAATTTTTGTTGTATTACTGAATGGCCCTTTGTTCCCCTGTCCTTTAAGAAATACCATTAGTTATATATTCCATTAGGAGATACATACGTGTTTATACACTCCAATCCAAGTCTTCATGCTGAAAGAAAAGAGGTCATTTGTGCCAGAATTGTCTTCTAACATTGTCTAAATTTCCCTAGCTTGTAAATTACTTCCTTGCATTTTGAGTAAGGTGTTTTTGGTTTTTGCAGAAGGTTGAGTCACATCAGTTCTGCCAAGACCCAAGTATATTTACTTCTCTAAAATCCAGATCGTTTGCCATAGTAATGTTGTTTAGTGACTCAAAAATACAAAGGATGATTTTAACTTCCATTTAGAAAGTTTTATTTGCTTTTATACTTATGGTCTTGCCTTTTTATTTGGCAAAACAGTGGAAATCAGCCATTCTCAAATTCCCAAGATTAAAATTTTTAGGGATTCAGTTTTCCCCAGAGAGATGCTTCAGGCAAACACCATGGTCTTCTGGTTGGTGTTAACATTGCACACCTGATGGTCCACACATCACAAATCCTACACGTGACGGAAATACTACATGACATGGGGAGAAAGTAAATTGAGACCACTTTTTATATGCAACTCTAATTTGATATAGACCCGAACTTACTTCTTCTGCATAGGTAACTTCAGTTATTAATTTCTCTGTTTATTATTAACATATCCTCTTCATGCAGTTAAGCCAGACTTTGATGTTCCAAATATAAACATGTTAGCATCACATTCTCAGGGAGAATATATATATGTATATATTAACTGAGCTGTATTTCCAAGGACACATCCTATAATTTAATCATTTATATGTGCATTCCATTGATGAAATACTATATCATTTACATAGAACAGCTAATTACTAAAGCTATAAACTTGATCCATTTCTTAGATATAAGCCTCTCTATCCATAGAGAAAATTTTGATGCTTTTGATCCTCCCTTGGAATAATCATGATGAAATTACCATTGTTTTGACATTTAACACTCCCTGAGCAACGTGTATTTCTTTTCTTGCACCATTTTTTTCCTCACAATCTCAGATTACTGAATAAAATGAGACAAGCGGACTGCCTCTATTTCATTTTCTCTGCCCAAATATTTTTAAGACATTTTATTACCTACTTCCTTCTAGTGGTCTAGAAGCAATAAATTCATTACAAGTGTAAAACAAGGAAGCATACTATGTTACATCACTTTTCATATTCAAATCATTTTACATCAACTAACTTCTTTTCTCTACCTTAATGGGAGGTAGGTGGTAAGTATTAACCTCCCTTTACGGCCAAGGGAACTGAGGTAACATTTAGATGTCAATGAAGAATCCATTCCCGTGAAAGCTTTGCTTGGTATTTGGGAGAAACTTGTTTCTACTTTTGTGCATATGGTAATTGAATACTCTTTCCCATTTAAGACACGTTAAAATGTATAATTAATAAGGAGATGTCATTTCAAACATGCCAGCAACTTAGTCTGGATTGCTCATCAGAGTTTATTGCACTGTTCCTTTGGGGCAGTTTTCCATCTTCATAGAACGATCATCTATGGTACAAGGCCATATATGTATAAAAATAATGTACATTGATCTTTTGAACTTGATAGAACAAGAAAGTTTAAAAAACGTCTGTTTTTAAAACTCTTCATGGAATTTTGTATTGTGTATCCCAAATGGTCTAATTACAATATAATTACATGCTTATTTCAGAAGAACTATGATAAACTCCATTTGGGAATCATTGATTCTCCTCTAGTGGAAATACGAGTAAGCCTTTTAAAAAAATGACACGTGACTGTGTCAGCCATGTGATGATTAACTAGTTGTTAATAAAACAGGGGAAACGTCTGATTGTCCATCCTGCTACCTGCACGGAGACTGTATTTAGGTAGCTCATTTTTTTAAAATAGCAATGAATGCATACAGTTCTCATGGACAGTTGCTGACGCTGCATTCCTCTGTGGAATATTTTACTGTCAAAACTATTTGCAGATGACTCTCCTTTTGCAAAGGCAAAGCAGAAATTAATTACCCATTAACCAAATAATCACATTGGCATCATCCACAGGATTACAGTGTTCTCTGGGGCACAATACATTTCTTTTTTTCACCTCCACTCCCATTATACATTCCTATTATACATGCATGCAGAATGAAAAATGATCATGCGTCCATGACAGTGTTTTCAGCTTCACCCAACACTAAAATAGGAACCGCTGCCAGCAGTCATTTTTGCATATATAAAAGACACATACACAGTGAATTTGGGGGGAGCAGGTTGTCGCTTTTGTAAATTGTGTATTATGTTTGGGTGCAGCTGTTCGATATTAAACTTCTAAGTTGTAATGACAGCTTAATTACTTTGCCAGCCTTTTAAATCTAAAATCATTTTTACAAGACATTTAATTGTCTATCTATGCGACTGCTCGTTTACTCAGTCAGAGAGACTTCAGGCTGCAAACATGTGTTGAATGTGACCCTTCACCCAAATGGACTCTGTGTCTGATGTGTTTGATATTCGTTCATCTTATTTTCATTTAAATTGAAAAATTTTAAAAGGTGTTCCCATCCATGTGATAGAGTTGTACATGTTTGTTCGTCACCACCTCTCTCCTTACCCTTGAAAAAAAAATTGAGATTAGCATATAACATCTTCAGCCTTTTGGTGGCTTCCAAACCAGGGGTGTGATGTTTTGCTGAATGATAGATCCGGCATCAGTGATTGAAAACAGAATCTCAATTTTGGCAGCTTGGGGCTACAAGGCCTCGTCTTCCCTCCTAAACCTTTGAAAACTCCCATCCCTGGGATTCTTTCCCAACCTTCCTTCAAAGATAATGGTATCTTTGAAGTGACTGTTTCCTGTAAGTGATTTTGACTAACACCCACCAGACGATGGTGGTGTGTGCTTGCTCCAGGGCACACTAACACGGCTGATGCTCTCAACAGGGTGGCAAGTGTGCAGAGTGAACCTGGCCAGCAGAACCTCCACACTCAGCAGCCGCTGGGGAGGAAGAGGGGCCTGAGGCAGGTAAGCAGACCCTGGAAGGGCAGGAGAGTCATCCTGCGAAATGCAAGGTCTACTCAGTTTTTAATGCCCATGTATATTAAGATTATATTTTACCTTCTCCCTGCCTGAAATAAGCAGTACAGAACAACTTTAAAACATGGTAAGTGCTTGGGCAAGCGGAGAGTTTGGGGCTTCTTCTATTTTTAGCTCTGAATCTTCTTATTAGCAAAGCTGATCACTTGGTAAAATAAATGGGCCTATATTTTTATTTGCTCCCTATCCAGAAACCTTTGCCAGCCAAACTAATGACAATGGAAGATTCGTTAGAAGGTTGATTTAAGGCCTGTTTCTGTAGAGAGGCAGAGACAGCCATCCTTTCTTCCTCGTTTCAAGATTAATAATTCAATTTAAAACTGAAATCGAAGTAAAGATCATCTTTATAAATTTCCCTAGGTGGGGCTCCTTTACGTTACTGTCTAAATAAAAATCTAAATGAGGCTTTGTGCTGTTTCTTTGATGGGAGCATCCCAGCACTGATTTGGAGACCAGACATTTTCCCAGTACCTGAGGTGTTTTTCATCAGCCTCCCCTTGAGAGTTAGCATATGCTCAGCTACAGCTTTTAGATGAGCAAAGGCTGATTGGTAAGCAATCATTGTTAGTTTTGTATCCTTAAATTCACTGATATTCTCACTGTGACTATTTCAAATTATGTTAATGTTCTTAGGATGTATAAAGGAGTAATAATTGTAAGATAGAAGTGGCTAAGGGGATGCCAGAATCAAATACGTACTTGTATTTAAATATGCAGAAAGAAGTTTATTTTATTGGCTATGAATGTTAAGGAACAACCATAAGACTCCACAGAGACCCACCAAGAAGGGAGCAAACCATAGTCAGAATCCTCTGAGCTCAGTCTTTCCTCCCAGGCAGTTAGACCCTTCTTGCTAGTTTTCTTCTGCCTGTTCTCTTTAGCTAAGACGTCCTCTACTATCACGTCAGAAGACTCAGACTGAACCCAGAAACCGCCATGGGGCTCGGCTGTCAACCACCCGCAGGAGCATTCAACCTAAAACGAAGCCATCCGGTGAGGCCTCCTGTGTCCCTTCTGGCTACACATTGACACATTGCCCTGCCACACAGCCAGGAAGGCCTGCAGAGACTGAGCTCATGCAGATAAGCACACCTTTGGGGAGCCACTAGGAAAAGGGACGAAATTTCCCAGGAAACTTGAGTGCCTTTTTTCGCTCACCTTTCCCAATTCCATCCCTCCCCTCATGCACCTAGGAAATGGAACAGTCCAAGGTAAACCACAAATGCTATGAAATTTGTTGATAGAAGGTTGTGTTTCATTTACCCAAGCCAGGAACTGGGTTTGTTATATGTCTTACTGAAGACAAAGGAATGATGAATAATAGGGACTTTTAAATCTTGTTGGCAGTTGTTATGAGCAATGACCAAGTTCACTTAATGATCTATGCCAATTTTGTTTTTATGTAAAAACTATTTATGTGAAAAGGCTATTACAAACTTTTTTTAATAAATTAATTTTTTTATTTATACTATTTATTTTTGGCTGTATTGGGTCTTCGTTGCTGCACACAGGCTTTCTCTAGTTGCGGCGAGCGGGGGCTACTCTTCCTTGCGGTGCGCGGGCTTCGCATTGCAGTGGCTTCTCTTGTTGCGGAGCACGGGCCCTAGGCGTGTGGGCTTCAGTAGTTGTGGCACGCGGGCTCAGTAGTTGTGGCGCATGGGCTTAGTTGCTCCACGGCATGTGGGATCTTCCCGGACCAGGGCTCGAACCCATGTCCCCTACGTTGGCAGGCGGATTCTTGACCGCTGCGCCACCAGGGAAGTCCCTGAAAAGGCTATTTTATGCAATAATGATTTTTATACCCAAGTCCTAGTCTTTGTAAGAAGGTGAAATCAATACATATACATAATAGTCTAATCTGCTCTCATTTACTGATAAACCAGCAATGTCTTTACCAAGAAAAGTCAAGTCAGGAGACACTTGTTAAAACTAATTATTAAGCACTGCCAACCTACTTTCCTCCTATTCTATTTACTGCTCTACTTCTGACCTACAGCGGATCAGAAACGATCTGTGACCTTCATTGAGGCTCAGGCAGAGCCAGGCGGTGCCCCAACAGACATGCTTCCTGCCACAGGCCAGCCACAGGGCTGCGGCCCAGCCCCATCCAGGAAACCAGACGGAATGGACAAACCAGTGCTCACGTCTTCCCCCGCCATTGTTGTTGCTGACCTTCACAGCCTGTCTCCCAAGCAGGTGAGGGCACTGGAGAAACAGGCAAGTCTTGCTCCTTGCATACTTCTGTCTGGGAACCATTGGGATATGCAGATGTAATCCATATAACTTAAGTCTGGGTCTGTAATGTTTTGTTAGACAGACACTGGTCCTGTCATCATGAAAAAAAAAAACTGTAAAGTATATGGCCAAGAATACATCTACTTAAGAAGGCATAAGAGAAATCTTCATACTCTTTGTTATGAAAACCCTAAGAAGAAATATTTCATAGTTAAAATAACCATTGAAAACCAGTATATAATACATGATTGACAGTTCAATTCAAAATATATATATAAATAAAGTTACCAATTTAGATGAAACCTTTAAATATAGAACCTTCTGAATCCTGTGAGAGGAACTTTTGATCTTTTCGTCGTTGTTTGATATTTTCTTGTTGTTTTGATTTTTTTCCCTGCTTTTTTAAAAAAAATTTATTTATCTTATTTATTTTTGGTTGTGTTGGGTCTTTTGTTGCTGTGTGGGCTTTCTCTAGTTGCGGTGAGCAGGGGCTACTCTTCATTGCGGTGTGCGGGTTTCTCATTGCGGTGGCTTCTCTTGTTGTGGAGCATGGGCTCTAGGCGTGCATAGGCTTCAGTAGTTGTGGCACACAGGCTCAGTAGTTGTGGCTCATAGGCTCTAGAGAGCAGGCTCAGTAGTTGTGGCACACGGGTTTAGTTGCTTCGCGGCATGTGGGATCTTTCTGGACCAGGGCTCGAACCCATGTTCCCTGCATTGGCAGGCGGATTCTTAACCACTGCGCCACCAGAGAAGTCCCTTTTTCCCTGCTTTTGATTTTTATCATTAAATTCCCATAGGTCCCACGTTCTTCTCATGTGGTGTTTAAAGAAAGCTAAGGGGCAATATACTATATACGTTTGTAAAGTCTTTAATGGTTAAAAAGCAGAAACTAACACACCACTGTAAACCAATTATACTCCAATAAAGATGTAAAAAAAAAAAAAAGCATCGTAATACCACTGTCTCATTTTTATCCTCACAGTCTACAGGATAAGTGGGGCAAAATATTATGCTCATGCAACAGGTTAGAAAACTGAGGCTTAGAAACTTGGAAGGGCCTATCTGAGGTCTCACATATACCAAAGGCTAAAACTGGGTCCACCCTTGGGATTCCTTGTCCAGTTACAGCTGTACAACAAACATTCTTTGATCCTTTTCCCTAGTACACATCCTACCTTTCCATGATGTTATGATCCTTTTGGTCACAGGGTGAAAGCCTCCCAGCTGAAGAAGGAGAAAAGGAGGAGGACACAGAAATACAAGGTGCTACAGCACATAGCCTCCTCTCTACTCAACTCTCAGACCCTGATGACTTCACAGGCCTTGAGACATCCATCCTCCTACAGCATGGAGACACTGTACTTCACATCAGTGAGGAAAATGGCATGGAGAACCCCCTCCTGTCCAGTCAGTTCCCTTTTACTCCCACTGAGCTAGGGGAGACTGAGGTAGACCTAGATGAGTCTCATGTTTAATTCTGTACCTTTTAAGAGTTGTAGGTGTAGACAAGATGTGGAAGGGATCACTTTGCTAAAAGTTGAAAACTTGCTTGGAAAAGATGAAAACATAGCACTTTACACTCAATGGGTAGCACAAATCCCAGTGGATTTTGCTGTCGATGTGCATATTGTTTCATAAACATCTTTTAAAAGTCAATGGCTAAGATGGTTTGGTTGTGTGAAGACCATAAAATCTAGGGAGGAATAAAGGGAAAGAGCCATTTAACTGCACATTGTTTATGATTCAAGAAGCCTTGAGCAGTTGAAAATGTATACTGTTACAGAGCTGCTTACCTAGGAATATTAACAAATAATGTGGTCTAAAAAGAGAAAGCAATTTTTTGAGGTTACATTATACATCTCATGCAAATGTTTATTTTTCTAATTTCAAAATCATTAAATCAGGTGGCTGTACAAGTAGCAATTTATATAAAAGTAATCAATAAGGAAAATATTAGTTTGGGGAAACTTGATAGCAAATAAGCCTGCAGCCATTTTTTTTTTTTTTTTGATCAACAATACAGCCATTTAGAAGAAGAAAAAATACTATTTTTAGAGCTGTGGATTTTTCAATATTTATTTTTTAACTGTCATTTTCATTGCATATTGTAAATCAAAATGCTAATGCCATAAGATCATTCCATTTCATAACACATTAGAGAATATTCTAGAGATTATCAGACATAATTCTGAACTAAGAAGAACCTAAATAGCCTATACTATAATAAAAATTAAATGTAAATGTAATAGCTAGAAAGAGATGGTATTCCTACTTCTAGTCCTGACTACATCAATGCCAAGATTGGGAGATATTGGGAAATGTGATTACTTTCCCTTACAGTGTCCTGTGCCTGCCCTTGATGGCATATTTTCAGATATTATATTAAGGTTAGTGTTGTTAGAATTGGTTCAATGAAATAACTCTCAATGTTAACAATATTCATATCCTTTAGATATTAAGTTTATGGTTCTCTGTAGACAGAGCTTGTATATTTTACTTTAACTTGAAGTTCAGTTACTTGAAGAAAAGTATAAAACTTGGCTTGTGAGGCTATATCTAGTGTGTTATTGATCCTATAGCAGGGCTTGGCATCATGTAGTTCAAGATTAAATTTCAAAACTTTAACAGTTTACATTACAAAACTGTTACATAACTTCTAAGTGTATAAAAACTCATATATATATATATATATATATATATATATATGTAAATTGGTATGGTGGTGAGGGTGCGTGTGTGTTTTCTAGTCCTCAAGCTAAAGTTTAGACTGTGATTACATTGCAATGAATTTGGAGCCCATTCTGTACACTTAAACTTTGACTACATTGGCTATAATATGGTATATGTATATATAAAGGAGACCTACTAAACCCACCCAAATCACAAAGGAAACTTATTTTTCTCTTAGAATTGCTTATTAAACAGGCATTGTTTTTAATGTGATATATACTTTCAAATATAATTTGGGGTTTTGGTCTCATTCACTAATAGAATGAAAGATATCTGTGAGTTAAAGTACAAAACTAAAAATTTCAAATCTAAAACTTCAAGAAAGCAGAGGTGGTAAATGGCCTCATCTATGTTTTACAATATTTTCAGGACATTTACACTTAATGCTGAATTCTCAAATGCAGAAATATACATATATAAGTGGTTTTATGATTCTTTCTAAGCTGATATATTTCGCCTGTTAAAAATTATGCTGCTCCCTTAGTGTTAGAGGCCTTATGTTTGGCAATTACAAGTGTCTGTGCTATATGAGTCTCTATGTATGTGCATGTTTTGTTCCAGTTTCTTGATTCTTGACTCATTCTCTATGTATAATCGTATCAAATATTTAAAAAGTAAAAGGGTCAAAGAAGATTGTTAAATATCTGACCAGAATCCTATATACCTTTATATATATATTTAAAAAGTATTGGGATGTTTTGAACATGACTATGCTGGCCTGTCTGCCTTTTACCCTGATTCCTTCACTCTAGTGTTATGGAAGTCTACTGGAAACTTTTTCAATAAGCTAAGTAATGTTGTACCTTGCAAAAAAGCCTCCACTCTGACAAACAGGGCCTTATAGAGTGGGAATGTTTTCATACTGGGACTCTGGAGATTTTGCAGATGTGTACATCTGTTCCATTTAAGGTGCCCTTAAACGTGTTGAATGTAACGTGTTAAATGTTTATGTGTAATTGATAAAATATCTATATGTATGTGCATAAGATTGTCACTAGATGTATTCTCAGGAATACTGTTACCTGGAGTTTGAAGGAATAATTATTTATAAAAACAAAAAAATGTCGAGCAAGATTAGAAAAAGTTCAAGATAAGGAACAATATTTTGTAATTCAAAATATTACTGAGTATATGACTAAAAGTTAATTATTACATATGATAAATATAGTATTGGTAATAGATCATTTATTAAGCTATGCTTCTTAATATTTATCTTGTTCAGAGGAAAATTAAAACAGACACCTACTTCCCATGTATAAAAAATTGGTCTCAACCAAGAGGTTGCTTCTTCTGAAATTAACTTTTGAGAGACCTTAGAATAAGCATGTATCATCCACAATAGTGGGTGTAGATTTACTCAGATTCAATTAAAGCAGTTCAAATTCTGGATACAGCATTTTCTACAGCAAAACATTTTACTTTCATTTTTCAGTGTTTGCTGCTTTCTGTAATTCTATTAGATAAGTTGTTTTTTTCCAAAAAGGAAACTGAGTTGTTGAGTGCATTGGGGCAAGGCACTGAGAACTACGGTGTCAAAAGGCATAAATGGGCATGGCAATGCTGGAGGAAAAAAAAATCTGTGGCATTTCGGGGTCTGACTAGGGCCTGTTGAGTAGGCTGGAAGTAACTGATTTGCTATTTCAAGCCTCCAAGAGTACCTTAGGCAGGATGATATCTCCTTCTTCTTTAGTTATCTGTCCCTCTGGTCAATGAAAAACATTCTCCAGTCTGCTGTCCAGCTCTGAGAGTATCTGAGACAGGAATAGAGTGTATATAGGGACCTACAAGGAAGAAAGGGTCATAAATAGAATGACAGTCCAAAATAGAAATTAAATATCCTTCCTCAAGTTGTACATGAGACTAATAGTCTCCGGAATTTGCTGCTATCACACCGAGTCATGCTGTTGCCCTGTGACCTCACACTTCCAATTCCATGGCCTTGTCTTGGCAGTGAATAAAAAGTCCCACCTCCTCATTTACTTCAGTGGGTCCTAACTGCAGCATTTCAGAAACAAAGTTTGGTTTGACACTCAGGAGAATAAAAACAAGTTTAGGGCAGAATGTATCTGGAAAAACTTAAGACAAATTTTCTTATGTTATTTTAGGATCATTTAGGATTACAGATCAATGTACCTCCATATTTTTCAAGTCACTGTGACTGCAGGATGAAAATCCTTTATTAGCCATTTAATAGGTAAAAACAAAAGATTGACTACACAGCCAACGTCCCTCAGATGACTATAAAGTTTGTTATGAGTACTGAATGACCAAAGAGCATGGAAAAAATGCATATGAATAAATACTGAAATGTTTATGAAAGATATTTATGAAAGATAAGACTTCTGTGTTTGAATATGCACATATAATAAAATAAACCTAAAAACATTTAAGATGCCTGATTGAGTTTTGTTTCTCATTTTTCAACATAGGGAATAGGTTAACTCATTCAGGAAAGTGTTCATTTTAGATCCCTGGGGTGTGCTTTTGTTTTGGATCACTGGAGCTCACCTTGATATCTCTCCTCAACCCTCATAGTCCGGCCTGAGGTCACCCTTCAATTGGACACCTCCAATTCCTTCCTCCTATTCCAAATGAGCTCCATTCTACTCATGCTTTCCATCCCTAACTTTCAAAATAAAGCAGAATGGGCATATTGGGAGACAAGTTCCCCAGTGTGACTTCTCTGCCCAGGTATGACCATCTGGAATGACTGGTAGATTTTCCGGGAGGAATGTTAAGGACCAGGTTATGTGCTGAATGTGGCCAGAACCACTATGGGATACACGTTTACCACCAGTTCTTTTATACAAAGTGCTCTATCCTTACCCTCTAAGTTATGCCCTTGCTAAATCCTTTTTTTTTTTTTTTTTTTTCCTCTCCCATGAATTTGTTACCTGAAAAACTGTGTTCCCCTCTTGGTGGGAGTCGAGCCAAAAGACACAACCAAGCCAAAGATCAGGAGAAGGACCTATTACTTGCAGCAAGAAAGGAGAACATGGGGGATCTCTCCCAAAGCAGTGTCTTCCCAACAGCAAAATTGGGTAAGTTTTATGCTAAGGGTACATGCGTATTGATGAAGGGGCTTGGGCTGTGGACAGAGTCCAAGATTTAGTGGATTGAAGTCATGAGGGTCAGAAAAGGTCAACATATCATCTCTTAAGTTCCTGTTGATCTGGTGGTTGAGGCTTTAGGCTTATCATTTCCATTGAAAAGAACTGGTTGAATTTACAACTGATACACTATCTTCGCCATTGTTACTTCTCTTGCCTGATAACAGGCATTTGCTTCTGCATTCTTTGTCCCCTTAAGATCATTAATTACTACACAAAAGAATCTGAAAAAGAATGCATATATGTATATATACACCCGAATATATAACTATATAACTATATAACTATATATATATATATATATATATAACTGAATCACTTTGCTGTACACCAGAAAGTAACACAACATTGTAAGTCAACTATACTTCGAAAAAAAAAAAAATGACCTTTAGGACAAAATCACTTTCTTCTTTCCTTAACAAAGACATCTCCATAGCTTATACCTTTTCTTACCCCAATACATAGTGTATTTCTATTATTATATCTGGTACCTTTAACCACATATATTACTTAGAATTCTCAATCCTTTGAAATTTTAATTTTTAAATGAAAATAAAGAAGTGAATATTGATCATTGTGAACTGTAAAAAAAAAAAAATTAATTACTGAGACCTGTTCAAGGGCAAACATTGTGGCCAGGCTTAGATGACAAAATAGCTTAGGCCCAAAATGCCTTCTCTTATGTCAAGAAAGCCATGCCTGGTTTTCTTTCTCCAGAGACCCCTCCTCCCCCACCTCATCTGCTTACAGTTTTACTACAGTTATTTTCCCCACCCAATGATCCTAGACACATTTGGCAAAGAAATAGCCACTCTTACCCTGTTCTGGATTTTGTCTGAACAGTAAATAAATGTATTGCAATTTGTCAATAAGCATTCCTGTGAGAGAAGGTAAGAAGGATGAAGGCCAGAAGCAGAGGAGAGTAATAATAACCACCACCATTTTATACTGAGCACCAGGCATCCGGTCCTGGGCACAGACTTGGATTCACAAATCGTAAACGTTGAGCACTGTCTTAATAGATGAGAAAATTGGAGGCAGGGAGAAGTGACTTGCCAGGTCACCCAGCTAGTATCTGGTAGAGCCAGGATTCCGCCCTAAATCAGACTCCCACCGCTCTTGAGAAGGATTCAAAGAGAAATAGGAAGAAGGGTGTTTTTTTCGTTGTTCTTGGACAAGTACAGGGACGGAGAGGAAAGGAACGCATATGCAAACGATGGAGAAACAAAAAAGTGATAAGAGGGCAAGAGCTGAGGGGGAACCGCAGGGGAAGTAAAACTAAAAAAGATTAAGAAACTCCTCATAAGACTGGGAGACCTGAAAGGCTTGTTTTAAAAACAAAGGTCAGAGGAAGGAGGAAGGTGCCTCACCCCGAGGCCCCGCCCCTAAGCCCTTAGAGTGGCACCCCTCCCGCTAGGGGAGGCGGGACTTCCCCCCTCAAGGCAGCTGCGGCCGGTGGAGTCCGGAAGACTCTACTGGGAAGAGGCGGGGCCAAAACTGTGCGGCCAATCGGGGCGCGACGCCTTCGTCTTGCCGGGGATCTCTCTGGGTAACTTGCTTTAGAGAACTAGCACCATGGCGTCTGGCTGCAAGATTGGCCCGTCCATCCTCAACAGCGACCTGGCCAGTTTAGGGGCGGAGTGCCTTCGGATGCTGGACTCTGGGGCCGATTATCTGCACCTGGATGTAATGGACGGGTAACTCTCCGCGGGGCTCGGGTCTGGGTTGCCGCGCGGGGCGGGATAGGCGCACCTTTATTGAGTGCCTGTTGGGTGCACGGCGTCCCTGTACCGCGGAGCGCCTCGCTCTGAACGCGGTACTGAGAAGGAGCCTGCGGTGGGAGCCCTGGAGGCCCTGCTTGGAGGGGACCTGAGTCGGCATCCTGGGCTGCGACCGCGTCCCAAACCTCAGCCATCTCCCCTCCCCCCACGTAACGTGTGGTCTTCTAGCACTTAGCGCCTGGAAGCGACCTTAAATCTCTAGGATCCGTCTCATTTTCAGTTGGGAGAAACTGATGCCCAAGGGGATAGGCATGACTTGCCCAAGCTCATATAGCTAGTTAGTGGCAAAGCTGGGGAGAAAGACTTGTGTAAGGATGACGAGTTTGGCACCTGGAGTGAGAACGCCCGACTTCTGCCACTTGCTGGGTTACTTGGGACAAGCCATTTAACCTCATTGAGCTTCAGTTTCATTATGTGAAAAATGGGAGTAATAACACCACCGCTTCGGCATCTTTGGAAGATGAAATGACCTCATACACGTAGTTTACAGTGCCTGGCATATAGTAAATTCTCTGTAATTGTTAGTTGTTGTATCATTGTTCAAATTATGATTTTCCTGTCTATTTTCTCTTCAGGCACCCTGCTCTTCAGGGAGGTCAGTTTTTTGTAAGTAACTTTTAAGCACTGTAGTTACAGCCCATAATCAATATTGTTTGAAATCAGAATGATGCTAGTTTCTTAAGTTGGTTATAAAATGAGGAAAAATCATAGAGAAAACAGTTAAGACTCTCTCAGCGTTACACACATTGTGACAGAGTTGCAACTTGGATCTTGGGTTTGCCAAGTGGTTCTCTGAGCCCCAATGATCACAGGCCATAAGATCAAAACAGCCATTACCTTGGCTTGGGGTAGAAAAGTAAATTTATTGGAAATAGTAAAATCTCTGTGTACTCTCATGCAAATCTGCAAATTCATGTTTTTTACGAAAGATGACCAGTCACTCCCTTGTCTTTTTAACGTCACTCCTCTTATGACAGCTTTGTCTTCTTTGTTCTGTCTGGTTTAATCTGCTGTTTCTCTTTTGTATTCCACTCAGTTACCTCAACACCGTGCCTAACTGATAATGTCAAAGAAGATTAGTAAATATTACCTCTTACAAAACCTTGATTTTTAGTTTGGTATCACATATATTTCTACTTCTGTATATTTTTTTGATACCTTTGCTTGAAAGCCCTGAACCTTCACAGGTAATATTACTGGAGTGTGTACCTCCCAGATGGGTAGCTACATTTTTGGGTCTGAGACACAAAATGAGACAAAATTTTGTTTCTGAGACACTTGAGGGTCTCAGGACAGAACAGACTACGAGTATATGTGTGTAGTGTGTTTGTCACAGAGAGCAGCTTGGTTGTAAATAAGTCTTGTCCAATGTTTGAGCGAATGGAGAAAATAATTTGTTCCAGTTTACCAATCAGAATATCAGTGACAACAGCAATAGGTAATATTTACAGGCACTTGACTATTTCTGGTCTGATACTTTTTGTGAATTATTTCACACGACACTATGAGCTTGGTGCGTTATCTCTGCATCGACAGAGATTAAAGTCACCTCGTAGCTAAGAAACGGCGGAGCCAGGATTTGAAGCATGCAGCAGCTTGTTTTGTCTCTGAAACTGTCTTCTGTGGGTATTAGGCTTACAGAGAATGATTAAGATATTCTCTGTTTTCAAAGAACAACTATATTTTTTGATATTTATTTCATATCTCTCCTGCTGCACCGTAAGCTCCCTGAAAGCAGAGACTGTTTCTTTGGCTCACCTCTGTATTCTCTGCAGGAAAAGCACCATGGCAAGCTTAATTATAATTGGTTGGATGAATGGCTTTATCATAAGGGAGGGATCTCTAAGGAATCTTTTTTGCCCCTCCCAGCTCTATGGCAGACCCTGAGCTTATTAAGATAAAGTATTTTTTTATTGACTCATTTCCCCCTTTACCGGGAAACATCCATGGTTTGCAAAAACTAAATTCTGCATACACCATTTTAAAAACCCTTTCTCTGTTAAGCTTCACAACTTTCTGAGCTAAGAGCTATTTTTATTCCCCTTTTGCAAAGGAGGAAACCAGATTGGGGAGGTTCAGCCCCTTCCCAGTGTTCCACCCGAAGAAGCAGAACCTGGCTGAGCTGCAGTGCCTCCTAGGCCCAGGGTATGAAAGAGGGGCTGTGGACTCCCTTTCCCAAGGCAGCCAGCCCCAGTTTACCTTCCCTCCAGGTAGTGCCTCCATGCTTCTTTTCCTGGTCCCCTGAAAAATCTCCAACATTACACTGAGCTTGCATGCCCTTGTTTTCTAGTCCCCTCTCTTCCCTTGAAGCCCACACTTCTGATTAAAACTGAACGTCTTCATTTTGAAATTCAGGAACAAGTTCTGGAAACACTGGTGGGTGGAGCACTAGTATGGTTGGATATTTGAAATAAAGGACAAGTGGATTTTCTGGAAAAGAAAATTGGAAAGCATGTAAATATAAATGTGTCATGACAGGACAGTGACTGGAAATGTGTTGGTCGTAAGTGTAGGAACTGAGCAGATATTCAATTTCTAAATTAGGACCAGGGAGATTTCACGATACTACTAGACCTGACTGACTTCAGTACTGGGCCCACAGTGTCACAAGGCCACCATTAGCCGGGCCAGATGTTCTTCATTTTTCCCGTCTCCATCTGCTGTCTCACTCCTCCATGTTACCTGCCAGCCTACCCCCCCACCGTAGGCATAGGTGTGATTCCTTGTTCACAGGAAGCGTTGTTTGGTTACAGTCTTGCTGAATTTTATATCAACCTTGATCCTCCTCTTTGCCTTGTTGGGAGATCTGGTAAAGGTTTGCTCTTTGTGAAAATTATCCATGTGATGGGGGATCAAAATAATCGTATCCCTTATTCCAATATTCTAAACGATTATAGCTTAATCTCATAAGTTCTTTGGGAGAAAAGGACACTTTTTAATTGCATTTTAATTTTGGCAGTCTTTACTCCAAAATGGCATTATAGCTTCTGTTTCCCAGTGAAGTAAAAGTATATTTGTTTTATTCTCATATTTTCTCAAGATGTGGTTATTGTGTTTATTTTCGTGATAAACGAAGCCTAAGGTTGAGACATCAAAAATACTTCTGAGGGCAGACAGAAAAAACAGTGAATGAAATCCAGATCTTTCAATCTCAGATTTGTGTAGTATTCAGTAGTCCTTGCTGCCTGCTTATGTGACTCTTACCTCCGAGTTCTAAGTAAATATAAAAAGCATCTTATCCATAACCCTGGCAGCTACTGCTCGTAGGCGAATGGTAGAATGATTTCCAAAATACTAGAAATCCAACCTCCAAGGACCAGGGTGCTGGAGAGTAAAAGTGTCTGTACCCATCCACCGTACCCATCCCTCTCAGGTGTGTCCTGACCTCTCTGTCTTAAGGCTCTGCTCCTCCCTTGGACTTTCTTCTTCTGTTAGTTATTAGCTGTCAGTGGAGGAGCAGACAAGCCTGGCAGTTAAGAGCCTGAACTTTGGAGCTAGATTGCCTGTGTTTAACTCCTGCCTCCAGTGCTTATTGGTTGTGTGAGCTTGGGCCTCTTATTTTCTCATCTGTAAAATACAGGTAATAGTGGCACCTGTCTCACTGAATTGTTGAGAGGGTTGGTTGGTTGGTTGGTTTTGGTTTTGTTTTTTGGCTGCGCAGCACGTAGGAGGATCTTAGTTCCCTGACCAGGGGTCGAACCCGCATCCTTTGCATTGGAAGTGCGGAGTGTTAACCACTGGATTGCCTGGGAAGTCCCTGTTGTGAGGTTTTAATGAGTTAATATATTGGAATGGTTTAGAATGGTGCTTGGCCTGTATGTGTTTTAATTTTTTATTAACACTCCTTCTGCCTGCCTGTCATCTTAAGCTCAAGACTTTTGGACGTGGTTTATTCTCTCTCTTCAACCTTCCCCCTCCCCCGCATCTTATCACTTAGGAGATCCTATCACCTGCTGTCCTTGTTTCCATTCCTACTGTTTCTTGCCATTTAGCAGCACCTCTTGCCTCCCTTCTTCCAACTTACTGCCCAGTCTGTCTGCCTGCTGTATTGTTTGCATCTTATTTTTCATTTGTGTCTCTCTTTTAAAATCTCACTTGATCAGGATAAAGTCAAAACACTGAGCCTGGCGTTTGGTGCGCTTAATGTGACACAGTCTGCCTCCTGCCTTTTTCATACTAGCCAGGGTGGGCAATAACATCTCCCCCTTCTTTGAACTTAATTTAGTTATTTCTGCCTTTGCTTCATTTCCTTCCCCATTTTTACAAATTCTGTTTGTTCTGTAAATCTCACGATCTTACCCCTTTTTAAAAAGTGCTATTCTACTTGCCTCTGGAACTGTTTTGCCTTAATGTTGCCTACTTGTTATTGTGTAGCTTTTCTTAACAGTCCTCATACAGGGTAATGCCTACTACTTTAACAGAGAAAGCCCAGATTTCAGTGGCTTAATGTTATGAAGTTTCTCATTCATGTAATAGTTTGGTGTGAAATGTCTGTCCATGCAGAAATTGAGGGACCTAGTCCCCTTCCATCCTGTGGCTCTGCCATTCCTTAAGGGCCTCTTTACTGGTGGAAGGGTAAAGTGAGAGCAGAACAGGAATACTACTCAACCTCCTGGGCTCTGCAGTGACGCCCGTCACTTAAGCTCACAGTCCATTGGTGAGAACTAGTCACATGGGCCACTAGATGTGAAGGGAGTTGGGAAGTGTGGTCCTCGGCTGAGCTGGCTTCCTACCAACAGCTGTGCTGTAACAGTCAGTCATGAATTCTGGTGAGTCATTAGCCATCTCTTACCCGTGAGATTGTAAACTTTTCTGGGGTGAGCAGGAACACTCACATATTCCTTTATGAAATACAGTAGTCTCTGAAGCACTCAGCCTGGGGCGTACATAGAGGAGGTTTCTTTAAATATTGAAGTGAGCTGGCGATAGAACAAAAGGACTAACCAGAGTAGGATAATGGTGAATTACTTTGGGTCTGATATCAGAAGCCTTAATTTGAATCCTGCCCCAACAAATTATTAACTGGATGACTTAAGGAAGTTATGTATCCTGTGCTCTTCAAATGGGGATAATGACAGCATCTACTTCATAGGGCTGTTGTGAAGATGAAATGAATTAAGGTACAATATCTGGTATGTTGTAAACTCTCAGTAAGTGGTGGTTATTAGTATACATTAAGTGTCTTTTGTTTTTTGCGGTACGCGGGCCTCTCACTGTTGTGGCCTCTCCCGTTGCGGAGCACAGGCTCCGGACGCGCAGGCTCAGCGGCCAGCCGCTCGGTGGCATGTGGGATCTTCCCGGACTGGGGCACAAACCCGTGTCCCCTGCGTCGGCAGGCGGACTCCCAACCATTGCACCAAAAGGGAAGCCAACATTAAGTGTCTTTATTGATAATCTTTAAGAAAGTTTCGATAAACTGTCATTTTGTGCCCTGTGATAGAGGTGGATTAGAAGTAGCCACAGGCAGCCGGTGATAGGTTGATTTGAGAGACCTGTAATCAGAGTCCTGAACTTCCTAACTAGTGTGTGACTTGGGCAAGTCATATAACTTTTGGGGTTTTGGTTTTGTCATCCTTCTGTTTCTACTTGTCAGGGATTTTGAATTACAGAGTTAAATAGAGTAAATCATGTGACATTATTATGATTTGCTGAAATATCAAGGAGATAACTGCTCTGTAAAACTGAAATTATACAGATATTTTTAGTGTTGTTTAATACCGATGGTGTTATTGAAAAATAATTGCAATCACAGATAGTCTCCTCTACTCCCATCAGAATACATATTGAGAAAAATACAGAAACTGAATCGAAAACATTTTCAGAGCAAGATTTTGTTTGTCTTGTAGGCATTTTGTTCCCAACATCACCTTTGGTCACCCTGTGGTAGAAAGCCTCCGAAAGCAGCTAGGCCAGGACCCTTTCTTTGGTAAGTGGGTGTTACACTGTCTGAAGCTGGATGTGTTGCTCAAGTAAAGGGAAAGTAGCTGGTTGATTTCTCAACCTCCAGTTTCTTCTTGTACCCTTTTCCCTCCTCCCTGTGCTGGGGTTTCATTGACTGCCTGTAAGAAGCCTAATTCTTACCCGCTTCAGGGCCTGGGCACTTTGGCTAATATCTTTGCCTAGAAAGCTGTGTTCTCTTGACCAGTGCTGCCTCATCTTTCCTCCTCACATCCTTTGTTGTTTCTTCAGAGAGCCCTGTCTTAAATTAGCCTTTTCCCTGTTACATCACCTTGTTGATTTTCTTCTTAGAATTTCTTTCAATCTGAGATTACTTTTATCAAACTCTAAATGCCTTAAGGGCAGGATTTCATCGACTTAGTTTTTTGCAGTTTTCCTAGAGCTTAGCATAGACACAGCTGGGGCTCAATGTAATTGTTAAATGAATTTATGAATTGATTGACTTATGGTCTGTATTTGAAGCCAATTCATGGAAATTGGAGCTTTCTACAAGTGGGGTCTATGTATGCTCCACTCCAACATTGTAGGATAATGTGAATTAAGGATTTTTAAGACCAGTGACCTAGAAGTTACTTTTTATGGAATATAGATTCAGTCCACATATCCTTGTTGCTGCTGCTGCTGCTGTTTTAAACTAAGTTAGCAGTGACTCACTTGCCAGATCTCTGGTAATAAGACATTTGGTGAGTTCTTGTAAATATGTGTTTTTATGTAACTCATTACATAAATTTAGTAAAACTTAGATTTTTTTTTTCTTTTTTCTTTTTTTTTTTTTGTGGTACGCAGGCCTCTCACGGCCGTGGCCTCTCCTGTTGCGGAGCACAGGCTCCGGACGCGCAGGCTCAGCGGCCATGGCTCACGGGCCCAGCCGCTCTGCGGCATGTGGGATCTTACCGGACCGGGGCACGAAACCACGTCCCCTGCATCGGCAGGCGGGCTCTCAACCACTGCGCCACCAGGGAAGCCCAAAACTTAGATTTTTTAATTGAAATATTGTGGGCTAGTTTTAAAAAATTTTTTAATAAATTTATTTGATTTTAATTTTTTGGCTGCATTGGGTCTCTGTTGCTGCGCGGACTTTGTCTAGTTGCAGTAAGCGGGGGCTACTCTTCGTTGTGGTGCGCGGGCTTCTCATTGTGGTGGCTTCTCTTGTTGCAGAGCACGGGCTCTAGGCATGCAGGCTTCAGTAGTTGTGGCACACAGGCTCAGTAGTTGGGGCTCATGGGCTCTAGAACGTAGGCTTAGTAGGTGTGGCCCGTGGGCTTAGTTGCTCCTTGGCATGTGGTATCTTCCCAGACCAGGGATCCATCCCGTGTCCCTGGTTCGATTGGCAGGTGGATTCTTAACCACTGCGCCACTAGGGAAGTCCCTGTGGGCCAGTTTTATGAAGGTATGGCAGCCACTAGCCACATGTAGCTATTTAAATTAGTTAAAAGTAAATAAAATTAAAACTAGTTTCTTAGTGGCATTAACCACATTGCAAGTTCTCAGTAGCCACGTGTGGCTTGTGACTACTGTACCGTCCAGTGCAGTTACGGAACACTGCAAGCATCGCAGGAGGCTGTTAGAGCCTCTCTGTAGGCTCCATCCACTTCGAATGTACCAAAGGAAATGTACATTATCACCTAATTTACGTGGCATGAGGGAAACAATGTTCCACCAACATGTTCACTCTTTTGAAATTTCCAAATAATGGAATATAATCCTCTTGATTATCTGAACTTTTTTTTTTAACTACATTTTGGAAAATGAATTTTCCAGGGTAAATTCATTCTTATGATTGTCAGAGTTGGATGAAATAAGTAGCATTCTTGGTCCCCCCACCTTCCCTGGCTTGTACAGTGGCCACAGAATTCCCAACTGTGGCTTTGTGTGGACTGAAAATATGTATGTATTTTTCCGTTTCTCTCCCTTTTAGTTGTCTCCAAGAGTTACTTCTCACTGCTGTTTGACTCCCCTCCTATCTCTATCTGTGCCTCTTCTCTTACCAACTCAACTGCCACCACCCCACACAATCTGCTTTTCCTTTCTGTTTTTAGTTTGTTGTTTGCTGATAAACTTGCTGATCAGTCTTTCCAGAGGTGAATCTCAAGTAAAGATGAATGGACTTGATATGCTTTAGTGTTCGGGTTTTGTGACCTTTGTTTTTTATATTATATGTTTTTGTTTGTTTAATTCTTGGATACTGGTTGTTGGATAATTGATACGTGCTATATCCTAGGAGTTAGATCCCAAGTTGTATGTATAACTGCTAAAGCTTTTAACTCGTCAATCTCAGTATTGAGTAGAATTTGCCATCTAAGAAGTGAAGTGGTAGGGAAAAGTCGTTTTTGTTCTTAGCTAAATCAGTGCTCTTCAAGTATGGTCTGAGGACCCGTGGGAGTCCTTTTCAGATGGTCCATGGCATCAAAACTATTTGTAGTTTGATTTGTAAATTACTTGTACTGATATTATTTGCCATTATTTATGCTGATGGTGCAAAAGCAGTGGTGAATTAGTCTCCTGATGCCTTAGCCTGAGACAAGGCAGTGATACTGAACTATACAGGTAGTCGCGATATTCTTATTTGCCATACATTCATAGTATCCTCTGTAACAAGTATCCTTGATGAATTGGTACAAGTGATTGATTTAGTAAATCTTGATCCTTGAGTGCATGTCTCATTAGTGTTTAGTGTGACAAAGTGGAAAATACATATAAAGCACTTCTATTAAATCCTGGAGGATGATAGTTTCCTTGAAGAAAACCATTGTGCCATTGTTCTAAGCTGTGAACTGAAAGTGCTAGTCATGAATACCATTTTCCCTTGAAAGAACAACTGACACATGAACTGTGGTTATCAGACTTGGATATTTTACTGACATTTTCTTTAAAATTAACTAAGTGAACCTGTCACTTCAAGGAAAGCGGCTCCTCAATTTTCACTGCCACCGATAAAGTTAGAGTTTGCAAGTGAAAGTTGGAATTTTAGAAAACTTATATCTGCCTCTCTGAGCTTGATAGCTTCCCAGGGCTCACAGCTTTTCTGACCAGATCTGTAATATCATTAACAAATGCGGGGTTTGGATAGTATATAACGAAATGTGTCACTATTTGGAAGATCTGTGTAACTCAGTGAACCAGTAGTACTAAAAGAGCCGTTCAGAATGTAGACTAATGGGTTTGAGTGTAACAAAGTACGAAAAGGTCACTGGTGGGGTTTATGGATTCCACGTTGCCACTAACCTTTCTAAAAAAAGTACCACTTGTTGAGTTTTGGGGTAGAAATAGAATATCCACACTTGAGTGAAAAGGCTGTGGATGTAGGTACTCCTCCCTTTTCTATGCACTTTTTTCCCTTCATATAAAACAACAGATTGCAGGAGATTGAATGCAGAGCAGGTGTGAGAATATAGATGTCTTCTCTTAAGGCAGACATTAGCGACTCGCAAAAATGTAAAACAGTGCCACTCTTACATTAACGTGTAATGGATTTATTTTTATTATCATTATTATTTTTTAATGAATTAATAAGTAGACACTAAAATTTTTTTAGTTTGCATTTCTAATACATTAAATATTGATAAATATAACCCACATCAACAATATTTTGGGGGGAGGGCTTCAGTAATTTTTAAGAGTGCAGAGGGAGTCTGATAATAGAACATGTGAGAACTGTATCTTAATTATAGGCAGGTTAGCTGAGCCATCAATTCCCCAAATACTAGAGGATGTCCAGTGAGGGTTGCTAGTAGTGACTGCATGCTAGAGATTGAACAGGGATGACTTAGCAGTCTGGTAACTTAGGAAAGAGTAAACTTGATCTTTTAAACCAGATTGAATTTTTTTTTCTTGTTTATAACACGAAGGGGGAAAAACACCAAATTGAGTTTATCTTTTAAAAGCAAGAGTTTGCCTATTAAAATATGTTCTATTTTTGTTACTTTTATTAGTTTAGAAATATAAATGCTAGTCTTGGCTTCATTAATCAGGCTGTATACTCTGTTTTCCTGACATTTTTCAAAGCCTTGTTGCATTTTATAATCTTAGTTACTGAGTTCTGGAATACTAGAATTTTTTTCTTTAATATAGCTTTGCTGTGTCAGCAATGTGCTCCCTCTAACAAAACAAAAAGCTCAGAACTCTCACTGCCATCTGTCTGGCGCAGGAGTGTCTACTGTTTTCTTCTTCCCAGCGTTACTTCTTGCTTTCACTTCGTTTAAGCTGCCCTCTCCTTCTCATGAAATGCTATTATGTTTTAAGTCAAGATCTTTAAGAAGGCCATGCTCATTTCTTCCCAAACATATCCTCATACGATTTGAGCTTTAGGATCAGGATACGTGGCAGGCTTCTTAGGTTAACGTGTTCTTCCCTCTCAGTCTGTTCCTTTTCTTGCAGTTGTCTGCCTCTCAGTTGATGGCACTTCTCTTCTAGTTCCTCAGGCCAAATCCTTGCACCATCTGACTCTCCTCTCACTCTGCACTTCTTTTTATTTTTTTTAAAACAGCTTTATTGGAGAGTAATTGCTTTACAATGGTGTGTTAGTAGTTTCTGCTTTATAATAAAGTGAATCAGCCATATGCATACATATATCCCCGTATTCCCTCCCTCTTGCGTCTCCCTCCCACCCTACCTACCCCACCCCTCTAGGTGGTCACAAAGCACCGAGCTGATCTCCCTGTGCCAGATGGCTGCTTCGCACTAGCTATCTGTTTTACATTTGGTAGTGTCTATATGTCCATGCCACTCTCTCACTTCGTCCCAGCTTAACCTTCCCCCTCCCCGTGTCCTCAAGTCCATTCTCTACATCTGCGTCTTTATTCCTGTCCTTCCCCTAGGTTCTTCAGAACCTTTTTGGTTTTTTTTTTAGATTCCATATATATGTGTTAGCATACAGTATTTGTTTTTCTCTTTCTGACTTACTTCACTCTGTATGACAGAGTCTAGGTCCATCCACCTCACTACAAATAACTCAGTTTCGTTTCTTTTTATGGCTGAGTTATATTCCATTGTATATATGTGCCACACCTTCTTTATCCATTCATCTATCAGTGGACACTTTCACTCTGCACTTCTGATCCACAGCAGCCCCTGTTGTCCCTGCCTCCCGAACATACCCAGAATCCCTACCATTGCTCACCATCCTCAGTTGCTGGGTTTTTTGCCTTGGCCTTCTTAGTCGGATCTTGTCACTTGACTCAAAATCCTGTAGTGTTTGTTCTGCATCGTTCAGGATAAAACCTGGTGGGCTGCAGAGCTCTGTACTCTCAGCCGGTGCTTCTCTGACCTCATCTTCTCTCCCCAGTGCGCCCCCGGCCCCAGCCACACTGGCCTTATTTACTACCAACCTAGTGTGTATTGTCTTCACTCCTTTTATTTATCTCTCCCACTAAGAATGTAATCCCTGTGACAGCAGAGATTTTTGTCTGTTTTTTGCTGTACTCCTGCGGCCTAGAAAAGTTAATGGTGTGGCAAGTGCTCAATAAAATATTGGTGGGGAGAATCACTTAATTTAGCTTTCTTATTTTATAAATGAGGAAGCCAGTCCACATAGATAACATGACTTCTTTAAGTTTTTTAGAATGGGATTTCCTGGCCCTGGACCTAGGTTTCCTGGTATCTAGTTATTTTCATAAACAGCGCCATAGGCTTTTTGTGGAAAAATGGGGTTTTTTTTGGTAAATGAGTTTAACCAAAGCCTTATCTTCAGGATGAAGGGAGGTTATCTCTACAGAAGTGTAACTTCTGTATGTTTAACAATTAACAGATGCCAGAAGAGTTCATATCTGAAATAGCAAAAACTCCAGGCTGGCTTCAATAATACAAGCCAACTACTTTCCTTATAGTAATACTTAGGGGATACGTCTTTTCTTTCCAGACATGCACATGATGGTGTCCAGGCCGGAACAGTGGGTAAAACCAATGGCTGTAGCAGGAGCCAATCAATATACTTTTCATCTCGAGGCTACTGAGAACCCGGGGGCTTTGATCAAAGACATTCGGGAGAATGGAATGAAGGTGAGAGCTCAACAGTGATGGTAATGTTTGTTTGTTTTTTTTACAATAAATTTATTTATTTTTAGCCGTGTTGGGTCTTCGTTGCTGTGCGTGGGCTTTCTCTACTTGCGGCGAGCAGGGGCTACTCTTCATTGTGGTGCGTGGGCTTCTCGTTGCTGTGGCTTCTGTTGTTGCGGAACACAGGCACGCGGGCTCAGTCATTGTAGCTCGCGGGCTCTAGGGTGCAGGCTCAGTAGTTGTGGTGCACGGGCTTGGTTGCTCTGAGGCATGTGGGATCTTCCCGGACCAGGGCTCAAACCCGTGTCCCCTGCATTGGCAGGTGGATTCTTAACTACTGCGCCACCAGGGAAGCCCGATGGTAATGTTTTATACTATTTATTCTCAGAGTTGGGAAGATTTGGTGGAAGACCTGAAATGATAGGTGGAGAAGACTGGACTTAGGCAGCTATTCGTCAGGTTTGAAGATAGAGTTTAAGTATAACTTGTTTGTCAGATAAGATTGATACATTCCACTAATGTTTTCTGAAAGTTTCTACCTTTTAGAAACATTTACTTTTGACAGTCTTGTTGACTTTTTTTAAAAAAAAGTAATTACAGTCTGAACAGTTTATGTATTCCATTTATGTATGTATTCTATACTTTAAGAATAGACCTTTCTACTGGGCCTGATATGCAACAGTAATGTAATACGGAAATAATTATTCATGTGATATAGCAAATTTGTCTCTGTTACAGGTTGGCCTTGCTATCAAACCAGGAACTACAGTTGAGTATTTGGCACCATGGGCTAATCAGATAGATATGGCCTTGGTTATGACAGTGGAACCTGGGTTTGGAGGGCAGAAATTCATGGAAGATATGATGCCAAAGGTAAAAGAAGTATTTGGTTCTGGGGTAAGGCTTTTATTCTGTAAGTTCATTCAGTAAGCATTTATTGGGCTACTTGTATGTTTAGACCTGTACTGTTCTGAAGGTGGGGAGATGAGGATGCCTATATATCATTGGAATACAGTATGAGAAATGCCCCAAGAGATTTAGGTTTGGAGATCATAAAAGATACTACATCTTAGTCTTGAAATTTTTTTTCAAAACCGTTATCTCTGTAACCTTGAGATCTCTTGGGAGTTTTCATTGAATATTGAGGGTTTTGTCTTTGTCTTGTTTCTGTGAAGTATATTTTCTGCAAAGCCATGACAAATTGAATGCCATTTGCCAAACAGAACAAAGCTTGCTTTTATAAAACTTAGTTTGTTACAGTACATTAAAAGCTGGTTTTCCCCAATCATAATTTGTATTGATATAAAGTTATTGTCTGAGACATTTGGAGTCATATTTTAGTGGCTAATATCAGTGATTTTTTATTTGGTGTTTTTCCCTCTACCTATCCACTTAGTCACTTACTTCCTTGTGTATAACTAGGTTCACTGGTTGAGGACCCAGTTCCCGTCTTTGGACATTGAGGTTGATGGTGGAGTAGGTCCTGACACCATCCATAAATGCGCAGAGGTGAGACTGCTTGACTGCAACCTAGACCAGTTTCCTATCAAATGTAATGACAGGACAGGTCTTGTCTGCCAAAGAGACTTCCTAAATAGGCTTTCTTTCTTAGAAAATTTTTTTTTTTTTTTTTGCGATACGCGGGCCTCTCGTTGTGGCCTCTCCTGTTGCGGAGCACAGGCTCCGGACGCGCAGGCTCAGCGACCATGGCTCACAGGCCCAGCCGCTCCGCGGCATGTGGAATCTTCCCGGACCGGGGTACGAACCCGTGTCCCCTGCATCGGCAGGCGGACTCTCAACCACTGCGCCACCAGGGGAGCCCTAGAAAAGTATTTTTTTGTTTAAATGTAAGACCAGGAAAATAAAGAGCGATAAGTGAATATTCTGAAACCACATAATCATTAAATAGTAAGTCCTGGTTATCTCAGTAATGAAAAAATTCTTTGGAAAGGAATAAGCTGAATGCCAGCCTGTGGAATATCATTGAAAAGTTCCAGGGCCTTTGAGACAGTTTTCCAAAATAGGGAAAGAAAACATACCCGCTTGTAAAGGGAAAAAAGAGTGTTATTCTGTAGAACTTAGGTGTATTAGCTACTGATTTGTCCCTTGCAAGCTACTAAATCTGTCCCTCTGTAGAAGTGGGATGACTTTTTTTTTTCCAAGTGGCTCGCTAGGCTGAGTTAGGCTCCTGAACTTCATAAAAGGATACCAGCCCTCCCTGTAGCATTACAGGTGATTAAAGTTTATGTGACCTGCTTTTATTAAACAGCATGGTCTAATCTGCACTTTCAGTGTTTTGTATAAATGCCACACTTTCCTGCTTGATACTTATCAAAAGCTTGACTGTGGTCAATATGGAGGAGGTGCTGGCCAGACGATTAGTGAGCATGTATCCTTTGACCCCTTGTGGAATTCTTTTTTACTGAACTGTGCTTGGTCATTAATGCTGTTCTTGCTTACATTACGAGACATGTTAGGTTGTAACTCTATAAAACTAGTATTTTTTTCTTTTTTTATGAGGAACGTTGTTAAGAGATGTAGTGTGCTGTATCATAGGGTGAGTGTCTCTAATTGGAGAAATTTTCCTTAGCTTCAGTGGTTCCCCCAACAGTCCTCCCTTTCTTTTAGCACCGAATCACATAATAGATTGGATTTCCCTCCTTGAGTCAAATCCTAGGAATCTCAGAGATAAATTTGGACTCATCTTACTTGGTTTTACTCTGACTTCTTTGCTTTCATATTGAAAAACATCTTGAAAATCTTTTTTAAGCCACCTCAAAAGCATTCTGGAAGGCAGTGAAGCATATATAAGAAGTTCCATTCCTTCTGGCCTCACAATGAGAAATAATTTAATGTTGCCCTGTTTTATGGATTCTTTCACATTTTAGCAATAATTGTCCTTTTAGACTACCTACCAATTCTTATACAAAATTCAGAGATGAAAAGGTTGATTTTTTAGGAGCTGTGGGGGGAATTGGTATACAGGGGAAGACCTTAATAGATTTAAGGATTAAAGGTTTATTAGAAAAGATGCAGTGTAGTTTATTTAGAGGGGGTTACCAAAGTCAGTGATTTCTTAGACACATTTAAAAATAATTTCACATCCTCATTTAAGCATTTTCTTTTTTCATTGAACTAGCTGCCTAAGTATGTTCATCTTAAAGTGGCTTTTTTACAATTAAAGTGCTGACTGCCAGCTGCAAGCGTAGAAGAAACTCTAGTCCAGGAATTGTTTTAGGTTTTTCTGCATCTTCCTTTGAGGCATAACCTTAAGTGTTTACTTCTTCCAGGCAGGAGCTAACATGATTGTATCTGGCAGTGCCATTATGAGGAGTGAAGACCCCAGATCTGTGATCAACCTGTTAAGAAATGTTTGCTCAGAAGCTGCTCAGAAACGTTCTCTCGATCGATGAAACCACAAGGAGTCCAGGGTTTCTGCTTATGAGATCTCCTTTTTATTGGAAAACAAGAATATTGACTACCAAATCATACCACAGTTGAGGCAGTGCTGCTTTTCCGAGCAATTATTCATTCCAGTGACTAAAATCCATTTTGCAGAATGTTCCAAGAGGTTAGAAATTGGTGTGTATTACGTTTTCAGTGATGGAATTTAAAGATTAGTGTGGTAAAATACCATTTTTACTGGGAGACTTGATTTTTATAAAGAGTAAAAATATGGCTGTATCAAGGTTATGAACAGAAATGTGTCTTAATGCCTAAGGAAGGCATATTAGCTACTATGAAAAAAAAATTTTTTTCTGTATTTCTAAAAAGAGTTTTCTTTGCTTCTTGGCTTTTCTGAAAGCAAAGGAAGTCCTGTTTTTCCGGTTTCCTGTCATTCTTGATTTGTGTATTTGCATGATAACTAAGTTTGGATGTGGCTGGGATGGATGGCTCTTCTAGCTTCGAAAACATGTATTTTTTACTTTGCACCTTATATTTGATACATAAAAAAACCCGAGTGTATTATGAAGTCCAGGGATTTTCAGGTGGTCTGTTGTAAAACGCAAGCACAAGTTTTATCAGGGTGTTTTCTTTGTTAATTTTGCCATAGCGGCAGGTTATTCAGTGGTTCTTCCCCCACCCCCTACCCACCCTCCACCAACCCCATTTCCCCTTTTTCTTAATCACACCCGCTGTTCTGAAGGCCATAAAATGTTTTCCTAGCTCTATGCTAAAAGGAAAGGAAGGCCTCTATTTGGAAGTAATATTAAGTTGAATCCTGACTCTCTTCCCCTTTCTATTTGTTTGACCTTAGCAAACCAATCCAGCCAACCTCTTTGAGCTGATTATTAACTGATTTATATATTGAATGTAATCATAACAACATTGGGGGGGTTGTCTTTAGGATTAAGAGATACTATTAATTATATACGTAAAGCTTCCACTACTATTCCTAGAATTGTAGGGTAGTAGAATTTGAGGATGCTCAATACAAAGTAGCTATCATTATATAAATGTATGCTTTGTAGATTATAAAGTATGTTGATGATATCTCATTAAACCCACAAATCAGTCCTATGAATGGTAAGACAGGTATGTTTGTCCCCGTTTAAAAAATGAAGATACTAAATAAAGCTCAACAGGCTGATACCATGGAAAGGAAGGATCCAGTAAAGAATAGGATTTCTGGTCTGTACTCTTTTTACAGATGGAGCCCTTGGGAGGTGGATAAGCAAAGGAAGCTTCTTTTACTTAACGTTCTCTTATTTCCAGTCTAGCTTTACCCTGTAGCAAAACCAGATGGCTGAGAATATTCTGCAACTATGGATTTTGACTCCAAGGATATATATTTTATTAATCCAAGAAAGACCAGGTAGGCTAATATATGGCGAGGTACAGAGTTAATCCGTAAACTAAATGTTTATGATTGTGTCCCAAATTACACTTTGACAATAGATACATATTAGCTACTTCGTTGTTGTAAATACTCTTGCTGTGTAATACACATGGCAAGAAATAACAGGACCAGTGTCATTAAATTTTTTTCAGGCTACTATGAGTGAGTTTTGAGAAATAAGGTTTGGAAAATAAGAATGTTTACACTTAAGCATAGAATAGAGCTTGCCTGGTTTCTTCTGTGTTACAAGGTAAAAATTTATTTCTTACTGTTTTTCTCTGTTTGGGCTTAGGAAAGGCTACATTTAATCAAATCAGACAACACAAGGCATATAGAAATAACTTTAATTAAAAAAACTTACATAGAAGATTATCATGACAAAAAAAATCTGAGTTTATTTGCCTGGACAACTTGGGTTTGTTCTGGCTTTTGTTTTCTTTTTTAAAATATAAATGTACGGTAAAACTACAAGCAAAAATTTGTCAGCATTGAACTGGAAATTTTTTTCTTCTTCTTTAAAGGGACTAGTACAATTTCTAATCCCTAACAAAAACTTAGTGTCAGATCCCCCAGATTAGGCCAGTTGGCTAGGATTGTCAGTTATATGGGTACTACAACTTGAATAACCTTTTTACATGAGAAAAAGTGATTCATATAAATTGTCCTCAATTTTTACATATAACAAAATGATATAATAGTATCAAAAGGAATTTTACTTAATGTACACTCCAGTATCCAATATTGAAGCATTAACCTTTTAAAAATTTTATTTCTCACTCTAGGATAGATGCTTATTTGAATAGAGTAAGGAATGGTAGGGAATGACCAAAATAACTAAAAGTACAATAATATACTAACAAACAGGAATTTCCTGTCTGTTGCTCATTTTAAGTTGGGTGTTTTCTCTTCATGAGATACATAAAATAGATAAAACTCACTCAAGTTGAGTTTTAAAAGGTGTGGTAGTTTTAAAATACAACAATATTTAACTACTTTGCCTTTCTTATTCTGTTAGGAGTGAATAGAAAATAACCTGTGTTTAGCCCAACAGATATCAGTGATTTCAAATGAAGGAGTATTGTGTTATCTGGTGTATAAATTTCCATAAATAACTTCTATTGGTTAAACGTGTTTTTTAAAAAAAATTCCTTCTCCATAGTCAGTCAAGGCTTATAGATGTTCAACACCACTGGAAATCTATTTATGGTTCAGCTGATATTTCATGGGGTAGTTCATACGTGCATTTTCAAGTGGAGTGGTCACTTGCAGTGTTTTTTAAAACTACTTACATGTGTGTATTATGTATGCATGTATACTCTATACACGTGTTTTATATTCTTAATATATTTCTGAGGCAATTTAAAGAATAACCACGTGTATAGAAAAAGAAGAGCTGTCATTTGATGCATAGGTATATGTGGGCGTGGGTATAAGTTGTTTAAAAATTATTTACCCAGTAATGTGATTTGACATCAAATTGCAGCAGTTAATTTTCTGGTGCTTGTGATCTGCATCAAACACAAATGACTAGCACTTGTCTGTAGATGAAAAGCTAGTTAGTTATTCCTGTGGTTCAGGAAGGAAAATGAGACGTAACTTGCCTGTTTCATAAACAGCACAAAAGATTAATACATGCACCAGCACTACGTGCTGTTACTCTGGAATCGTGACTGTGGAGGGGGTGGCGGAACAGGGCTTATTTTTTCTCCTGTTTTCCCATCAGTTACATTGTTTTCTTAACCTGTTCCCTGTCACTGATTTTTCTTAACGTGAGTTGAGTAAGTCCTAGACCAAGGGTTTTGTGTTCCTCCATTTCGTCCGCCTGCCTTTGTGGATGGTGGCCATTCTCTGGTGCACTGGTACAGAAGACTTCACCATGGAAAGCTGGACTTGATCTTTCAATCTGATCATTTTTTTCATCTTGGCATAATAAGGCTGCTATGTCTTCATCTTTCAGCGGAAAAGCCCGTCGTTCCCACCCCAAAGGCTGAAAGAGAAAACGTTTTCAGTTAAGTTTCAACTAATTTGTTTAAGTTCATGTCTCAATCTGTAGCTCTCAGTTTTGTAATAACCATTGTTCTGTTCTTTAGCAGATAAAAGTACAAATTCTCATTTGGTCCTGAGTATCTAGCAACTCAAAATGGAACGTACTGAGGATTACTTAGGGACCTTTGGGAATTATTTTCACTTTGCCTCTTCCACGGAGAGGTAAACGCTGCCATTAGGGCACTGGTCTTCATTTTCAGCCTAGGAGCACTTTAGGGAAGGCCCTTTAAAAGTGTTTGGATCGTCTTCCTCAGTATCTCCATTTTCATCCCATCATTATTACAGACCCCTACTGACTTTTCTTTCCCCGTGCTTTCTATGACTTGCCTTTTAATTTCTATTGTCTCTACTCTTGATTCTAGATATGGTTCTTTTCCAACACCTACTGATGAAATAAAGTACAAGAACTTTATAGATGCAGAGTGTTAGAAAACACTCCCATTGGGGTTAAAACTGGACAAATGGGGAGACAAGTAAAAATCTTTTATAAGGGGAAGAGAAATATCTAACATTTACTATGTGCCAGGTGTCATTCTGTTTAATCCGATTTGGTTTGTAATGAAACTTTGATAGAATTCCCATTTTCTAACACATAAGTGAACAGGTGGAATTAGGTACTGACGTGTTACATAAAGAGTCAGGGAAGTGTCTGTAGTTAGTGATGGAACTAGAACGCTGGAACACAGAGCCTCTGATTCCTACACCCAGCATTCTGTACTGGGCTGTCCTACTGAATTTGTTACGTAATGATGACTCCTTAATTATCAACAAGCAATTCTATAAACAAGTTTTTAGAAGTCAATTAAAAGGAGGTTTAACTAGTTATGTATAACACTCCTACCTTGATCTCTTGACTCTGACTTACTGAAGGTGAGGCGTGTGCACTGGGGTCCTGGCTCTCTGGAGGCCCGGCGGGACTCTCAGCAGCGCCGTGCTGCCCACCACTGAAGTCGTTAGGGTATTCTTTCAAAAGCAAGTCCTGTCCTTCAACATTTTTACTGTAAGCTCTAGCAAGAAAATATTTAATTATTTGTTGATGTCTTAACATTGTATGAACAACCTAAGGTATCGTTCATAAAGTCAGTTGAACTTGGTAGCTTTTCTTTAAACAGCTCTGCCCAAAAGATTTTAAAAAATTCATCTGCTGATCTTCCTGATGTTATTATCCTCACATCTCAAAGACTTGAATAGTATTTTATGAAATATTTTGCCAAATTATTATAGTGGTTTTGTTTTGTTACAGTTTGGGGTTTTTTGTTTGTTTTTTCCCAGAAAACAGGAAAAGACAGTTACTTGACTCTTACAGTCTGAGTTCCCAGAGTATCTATGGTTATCGTAATGTCGTCCATGAAGGAAGGACTCGATTCACATTTTCCTCTGTACTTTTGGAAAACTGTATCTCTGGAATGTGGAGAAAGTTGATAACAGAATCTCGTTTATGTTAGGATAACTCTTAGAATAAGGCTCTACAACAAATCTGGGTATCTTGAGACCTAAACAGAGAAATGTGTTTTACAAATAATAAGTGAGAGATGCTCCACACTAAAGTGACTATCAGATTTCAACATGATCTTGCATTTTGAGTTTTGGCTATATTAAAACATAGTCCAGTTAAATATAAAATACCAGGGATTTTCTCAAATACATGACTACTGATTATGTTGTTAGGATTTATCCCCCCTTCCCTCAAAGTCATGTTCCAAGTATTAGGCGATTTGCTTTTTTACCCTGGATTGGTTTCTTGAGGGTTTTTTGGGTTTGTTTCTTTTTAAGAAAAACATTTCTGAAGTGGCTTTGTTACAGATTACCCAGATTCTAATCCCTAGTGTTAGGTCCACCATTACAGTACACCGAAATGACCTATTTATGGAGAATTTTTCATATTGTTTGCTCAGTTAAATCTATTACTGAGGCTGACAATTAGCATGAGAAATTGAGTGGAGTAAAATATAAAACTCCTTTCATTATTATGTAATTAGCCTGAATATATTTTTAATGTAAACTCAGTATAAGCAGTGTTTCACTTCTAGGGCACAAACAGCAGATGTTATATAGTATGTTTTCTTCATTTTCAGTGGTCTCCCTAGTTATTATGCAGAATTATTGGAGATTTCACATGGATTCCATGGTTTTGGGGTTTAAATTTACAACACCTGCCTGCTGTTTCTTCTGTGCCACTTGCTTTGCTCCCATAGTGACCATCTGGCTTGCTCTTTCTCTTCATATTTTTTGTGTCTTAGGGAGAAGACTGCATCAGAGAGGTCTTCTATCTGGAATTAGAAATGAAAAGTTTTGCTTTTATCAGAAACATTTTGAAATATGAGAACAGGTGTCAGAGTTCCTCATCAAGAGAACAATAGGAAGAAAACTCTAAAATAAATGCAGTCTAAGTCAGAGAACAAATGTTATGAGAGGAGGTTCAAATTCCTAAAAAGAGGGAGTTTAAAACTTCTTTACTGTTGGGTCATGTTTGAAGATTTACCTAGAATACTTATAGTACCTTGAGTACATATAGGTTCACAGTGCTTTCCACTTACATAAAATATCCTTAATGCTTTATTCATCCAAAACCTTGTATTGATTGCCCCTTACGGAGTATACTGTTCGTGGAACATATTAATATCAAAGAAAGTAAAACTGTCTGAGGTAAATGAGAATTAGTTTAATGAGTTAGTTACTTATCTGGCATTCTGAGACTTCGGTTGTGTTTCTGGCTAGGGTCATTCTGAACTAGGGAAGGGTGCATTAAAAGAGGGAAGGGCATTAAAAAGTAAATTCTGGTAGTTGAAAAACACGATCAGTTGGCACAGAAAGACTGTAATGGAAACAATGTCTTTTATATAATACCTGCTTCTTCAGACTATCACTTTGAAATAGATTGGTTATATAGTATCTTTCCCTTTAATTTTTCTTGTCTTACTATAAGTTTTATCCATACAGGTCCACAGTCCCTTTCCTGTAATTCCAAAAATCTGAAAAAACAAGTTTTCATAATTCATTTGGTGACACAATCTTACCTGAAATGATGTGGGGCTATTCTACTTTCTATTAATATTTCACTATAGAAACATTAATATTTGATTATGAGAACTGTCCTAGACTCCCTACATGTATTACATGATATATGTACCACATTACTTTCTAAAATCCAAAATTTTCCAAATTCAAAAGCAGTTGTTCACAAGATTTTGCATGTGGAATTGTAGGCTTGACGATTAAACTAAATACCATGCAGAAAAATATGACTAATACTGGGAATTGAATATATTCACATAAATTCAATATTTCAACGACTCATGTAAGGAAATGGTATGTTTTGTTTTTGCTTTTCTTTATTCTTTATACATTTTGTCTTTGTAGCCAAATTTGCACAAAACACTTCCTAATCAAATTAATATCCTTAAAGGGGAACTTTCTTTTCATAAGTTTTGAAAATTTATAAAATCAGCGTATGTTCCTCAAATACCAAATTAAGCACATGGGAAAAAAAAAAGCAGGCTTCATAACATATTAAGTGCAGTAAGTGAAAGGCAGCTTACCTCTTCTTCACCCAAATTATATTCATCCAGAGGCTGAAGAACAACCATCCTCCAGCTGTTGAAGATACAAACGAATTTCAAACAGCTTTTGTTAATCTACCTAAATGTAGCAATTTTATTCTGTAAGCACAGCTATTATAGTAGTGTTTTCTTTCTTTGGGATTTCCATAATTCAAATGGCTGTATCTTAGTACTTTATCTTTTAAAAGAGACAACGTATTTGTATTATGAGAAGAGGACAGGAGAAGATGAGGCTTTGCTTTTGGCCTTACAATAAACAGTCTCTTCTACATAGTTGCGTTTTATACCTACGAATGTACTAATTTTGAAATAAGTTAGTGGTATGCTGACAAACTGGCTCAGAAAATAAAGAGGAAAAAAGCTCTGATTTTTAGCATTTGCCAATTTCTTTGTGTGAAGACTCCCATCATGGCCTCTTGTGAGTTAACAGCCACATCACAGAATCCCTACGGGCTAAACAAGGTCAGCCAGCCGGCTCCAGCCTACCAGTGTAAATTGAAAACATTGTTGCTATAGAACATCTAACCACAAATGTTATTTCTTTACTTAATGTAGAATATGTCAACAAATTCTCTGCAGAAATTCTCATAATACCTCCTAGAGTATTAAGAGTTCTCTCAGTGCCTCAAAGCAATTATGAATAAAAGAATCAAATTAGTTAGAATAGAGATGGGTAGGAATTACTATAATTGTCAACCAGCTCTTGTCTCTGCTTCCATCCTTTTCTATTTCTACTTCTTGGTGCCAGATTAATAATCTTAAACCTCTTTCATCATGGCTAAAAAAATTGACAGTTTGCTGCCAGCAGGAAACAGATCTGTGTATGGCATTCAAGGACATCCACAATCTCGTGACAACTTCTTTTTGAGCCTTCATTTTCTATATCACCCTTCACAAAACCTCAGTCTCTGGCTTAACCTTGCACAGGTTGTCACAGGTGTTATCATCTTACACTGCGAATACTCTATGCAAAGGTAGTTGCTTTCTTTGATCTCTGCAGCCTTGTGCATATCTCCATTTTAAAGAGCAAGGATTATGTTAGTGTAATTATTTACATCCCTAAAGTACCTTTTAGTACCATATATACAATAGGAAACTAAATATCGAATGAAAAAACACTCTAAAAGTGCTGAAGTATTAGGAATTTCCATTTCTTAATAAAACCTGAGAAAGTAGTGCTACTATATGGCACTTTTTTTCAGCATGAGTAATGTAAAAGTTTCTTTCACCATTTTCCCTCCATGTAACCATATAAGTGGGAGGAAGGCAGAAAGGAGCATCTTCCTTTCATTAAATAAAATTTTAACTTCACTGAAAATTTAAGTTTATTCAAAAAAAAAGGAAAATTAAATAATGTAAGTATACATACCTTGGAGTAACTATTTCCTTATATTGGAGTTTCTCTAATTTAGCTGGGGCCACTAGTGACATGGGAATCACAATATTATCTATATCATAAGAGCTCTCACTTCGCAATCGTCGTCGTGCAGTATTCTGCAAGATAGGATTGTAGTAGTTTTACAATAGTATTTGGTTACCTGTAATGATACTCTCCTTTTACGAGTTATATAAAGATAACATGGCAGTGCCTTTAAGTTTTATACATTGTTATGAAATCTGAGTATAAAATGTTAAGAAAAACAAGAAAGCATATGTATCTTCTATGAACCAATACATTTGTGTGTGGACACATTCAGGCCTATTTTTAAGACCATTAAAAATATGAATGCCTTAAAATACAAAACATCAGAAGGTTGTACCATAAAGCACCCTAAATGTCAGTGAAATGATCTTTTAACAAACTCATTTTTTATTAGGAAAGGCTATGAAATGTTTGGTGAGCCATTTAATAAAGATCATTTTTACAATCTTCATTTATGTGTTCCTGGGTCCCTGAGCTTCATGCTGTTTTCTCTAAATCCTCCCATGTTTTAACCTCTACTCCCTACCAGGTAATGAAACAGAACAAAGTAAGAACACAGTGCTGGATTCTTATTAGCAAGATTATACTTAACATCATGTCAAGAAGTAGGGATGGTTATGATAAAGTTTAAAGTTTTTAGCATACGAAAAAAGCCATAACCAAGGATTAATGTACAATTAGCTCCCTAGTTAAAAAAAAAAAGTTTAATCAAATTTATTGCGTCTTAGTAAAATAATTCTGAATATGCTAATTATGTGCTAGTAAATAAGGCTGTTATAGATTAACAAAATATCTATAACAAGTTCCCCTCCCCCCACCAGATCTGCCAGGTTTAAAGGTCATAAAGCTACTTTAAAGTTCACTGTACAAAAACCTACTTGTGATGGTGAATTCTGGGTTCTTGATATAACATTGACATTAGTAACTGCAGTAAAATTGCTCTGGGATCCTGGTTCTGTGCGTTGAATAGCAAATTCTTCAAATCTAGTTCTTTCTCCTGCCATGGAAAGAACCATTGAGAATGTCATACATTAAATGTAACTGGTAGGTATTAGAATTTCTGTTTTCCTAGTTTGGTAACATGTGTTTCTTGATCTGTTTAGATTTTATTTTTTTTAAATTCATGTATCAAAAATGAAAAAAATTAAGGAAATTTTATAAAAATCTTAGCCACAATCCTGCCACAATTTCCATTTTCTGACAGTTTTTATCCAGCATATCTTTCTTTATTAATCTCCCTTTACTCTGTTCATGTTTTCTGTAACTTATTCAGAGGTTGAACTTCTAAGACTTACCTCTTAATTTTCTTGTCTATTCTCTCATTTTTTCATATCGTTTTCTACTTTTTGGGAGATTTCCTTAACTTGATCTTCTGATTACTGATTTCTGAAAATGTTTCTCCTATTGTAACATCCTATTTCAGGAATAAAATTTCTCTTTTCTCTCAGAATATTGATAACAAAGTTAAGTTTACTTCCAACTTTGTTATTTTCTGTCTCTTCCATGTTCCTTTTCTCCGTTTGTTTTGTGTCTATTTAGTGAGTATATGTTTATTTTCTTACTGCCCTTGTTTATTTTACTTTAGTACAGATCTTGAAAAATATTTTCCTGTGTAATGTAAAATTTAATACACAGTTCATATTTATATTATTCCAGTTGTTTAAAAATGTCCTTTCTGGCTAGTTGTTTCTTCAAATCAGTATCCATATCTTGAAAATGGTTGTTGTCTAGAGAGCTGTCTAGTTACTTCTTTGTAGTACAGCATTTTACTCATTCTATTCCTGTGTTCCCATCTAGCTCAAAGTTAGATCTATCAATTCAAGTAAAACAGTCTACATCTTAGGTAATGTGTATTTTTTCATAATGCATCTTTATATTAAGAGATACAGGTTTTCCTATATTTTGGCAAAGATGTATGAAAGTTCCTCAAAAGCTAGATGACTGTTGGTTATCTTAAGGTTAAGGCACCAAAAAAGCATAATGATATCCCTGAATGTGGGTGGGAGTTTAATTTTGTTCCACACTAGTTGATCAGGTAGTGTGATATTAGGTAGTGACTTTGGTCTGTTATGGTGGGATTTCTAGAGGCCATACTGATAAATATGTTAAAGCCACCATGTATAATTACAGTTAAGTACATCTTGGATGTAAATAGTTTCTAATTTATTGGGTGTATTGACATACTATACCTCGGACATACTTGACTAATGTATATAGTGTTAGATCCACTGGAACAATGAATAAGAACCAATAGAGTATACAGATAATTTGTTATTTAATACACACCTTTCCAGTTAAGTTTTACTTTTTATCATTATTTGCAATAACTGTTGAAACTATCTTGTCCCAAATCCCCATAACAAACCCATTTTGTATTACTAGCAGGGTTCTAGTTTCAGAGGTATCTCTATTCATCTTGGAACTGTACGTTCCTAAGGGGAATTCAGTCAGGCGGTTGAGTTACCTTAGATGAATCTCACCCAGTTTATCAAAATTCCGAGGAAGCTTCAGTGAAATCAACATCTCCACAATAGGTACCAGAAATGGTAATAAATATCTAAAAGGCAACCTTGTACCGACATATTTTGAGTCCAGAACACAGTGTTGGAGACTAAGTACTGTCCAGGAGGACAGTTAGTAGAAGATAACTCTAGTTAGGAAACACAGGTAGAAGATAACTATAGTTAGGAAACAGGAAGGAAATCCTTAACTCACAAAGTGGATGGATTCCCAGTCCACAGATAATTCTGAATTGACTACATGAATATGCTGTTTAATGTTCATAGAACCATGGATGTTTTGTGTAATTAGTGACTGTTCTAGATTATAACTCCCATGAGGCAGAGGTTATTTGGAAATCAGAATTTTTTATTTTCAGTTTTTAGTACTAGTGCGCCTGTCCTCATTTTAACCTACCTAATGCTGTTTCACTCAAGTGTCTTTTCTTTCTTCCCTGTAACAGCTGTGCAGAAGATTCTGACCTCATTTGAGGCTTGCATATAGGAGAATATCCATTTCTCCATTGATTCAGAGAAGTATTATGTGCTGAAAAGGAAAGAAAAATGTGAAGTTTTAGTTCCTTAACACAAATATAATGAGCATGTTAACCTCTTTTTACTTTGTAACATTGCAGAATATTAATATACCAGTTCGAAATTATATATAATGAAGTAAATACTTACATACGAAGATGAAATACTCCTAAGCTGAAAATAACCAAAGTAAGATTCATTAAAAACATCTTCAGGAAGTGCTCAATTTCCTATAGTTGCTCCATTATGTGAAGAGGATGAAGAGGAAAGGTGATCTGTTCTCACAGTCTTCTAAATTACAGAATTTTACAGAGAAGATTTGTTCAGATCTGTAAATCTTGGCTGAATATGATCTGAATCCTTAAGTTAGTTCCTGCTTACCTTAAATCTGGGAACAACTCAGGACTAAGTAAGATTATAGAATACAACAGACTGGGATCTCTTGAGAGCAATAACCAGATTTCATCCATCTCCTGACAGTGCCTAGCACCATTCTTTCACTTTTTAAAGCAATGAATTTTTTTAAAACTTTAAGTCACTTAATGTCTCTGTGCCTCAGTTGCCTTATCTGTAAAATAGGGATAATAGCAGCTATTGTGGGATTGTGAGGATTAAACAAATTCCTGTAATAGTCATTAGAAGGATATCTGGCATAAGTATGCAATAAATGTTAGTTTCACCATGACTGTTGCTCTGTCTGAACCCCATATTTCCAGTACTGGATAAATAACTAAATTGGCTTCCTTTTTTGAAATGTTTGGAGATGTGGAAAGGATAGGGAAAAAATATGAAGGCCTAAGTGCCAAATTCTCACCAACACTGAGAAAAAAGAGTATGGTCTACCAACAGTGACTGGGACTCAGATTTCAAGATGGCAAAGCACCCTAAAAATGATAGACAAAATTTTTATACATAGATGCAAAGATCGGCACATTTACATCCACGTTAGCATGCAAAAAAAGGAACCTTTAAGTAGAGTGGAATTTGTGAGCAATCTCTGAAAGCCTAATATCTTACGAAATTTGAGAAGCAAACTGCAAAAGCACATGGGAAAGCGATGCCACAAAAATGTGATCAAAATCAAAGGCGCTCCAGACCTGGAGGAAAGAAAGAATTACCTGCAGTAACTAATAGAATGACTACACTTGCCAGCCTGCCAACACCTCCACCAGGGTCCTTGAGGCTTCAGTAGAGAAATGGATGGGTGGGTAGATAAGGCAATGCCCGGTGCCCCACTTTGTTTGAAACATGTCCTGCTCATCCATAACTGCCTCTGAAAACAGTATAGAGTGCACATTTCTAACTCTTCCATGAGAAGGATCCCATAAAAAGCAGTGGCAGAAGTTGTAACGGTGAATATCAACTTTAAAGATGAGAACACAAGACTCCAAAAATCTGACTACCAGTAGCGTAAAACAAAAGGTACAAACAACAAATGGAAGAACCATCTCTAGAAATAGTTATGGGTTCACAGAATACAGATGTACAGGTCTTCAAAATAACTAATATTGCCAAGAGAAAGAGGCAAAAGGCCAAGAGACCTCAGAAATGGGAAGTATAATTGTTGAAATTGTGAAACAAAACCATTGCTCACTGCCCTGAATAACAGAACGGTCATATCTAAAAGTCAAGATCATTGGATTGGAAGAGTAATTCCACAACTCAAAGTAATAGAGTGATGGAAATATGAAAAAAACGACAAACCAAAATAGGTTAACAAAGGATTGAATAGAATGAATGGGATGTAATATTTGAAGAAATGATAGCCAAAATTTTTTACACATTGATAATTAACTCTGTTTCAATAACTCACTTGAGCATCAAAGCAAATGAAAAAAATATATATATATAGCACATAAGTATGAAGACATCCTAACAGTTACCAGAGAAGGGAAAAATTACTGCAAAGGAATGAGAATCAGATTGCCAGAAAGCAAAAGCACAAACCCACAGCCAACATCGTCCTCAGTGGTGAAAAACTGAAAGCATTTCCACTAAGATCAGGAACAAGACAAGGTTGCCCACTCTCACCACTCTTATTCAACATAGTTTTGGAAGTTTTAGCCACAGCAATCAGAGAAGAAAAGGAATCCAAATTGGAAAAGAAAAAGTAAAGCTGTCACTGTTTGCAGATGACATGATACTATACATAGAAATCCTAAAGATGCTACCAGAAAACTACTAGAGCTAATCAATGAATTTGGTAAAGTAGCAGGATACAAAATTAATGCACAGAAATCTCTTGCATTCCTATACACTAACGATGAAAAATCTGAAAGTGAAATCAAGAAAACACTCCCATTTACCACTGCAACAAAAAGAATAAAATATGTAGGAATAAACCTACCTAAGGAGAAAAAAGACCTGTATGCAGAAAATTATAAGACACTGATGAAAGAAATTAAAGATGATACAAATAGATGGAGAGATATACCATGTTCTTGGACTGGAAGAATCAACATTTTGAAAATGACTCTACTACCCAAAGCAATCAACAGATTCAATGCAATCCCTATCAAACTACCACTGGCATTTTTCACAGAACTAGAACAAAAAATTTCACGATTTGTATGGAAACACAAAAGACCCCGAATAGCCAAAGCAATCTTGAGAACGAAAAACAGAGCTGGAGGAATCAGGCTCCCTGACTTCAGACTATACTACAACGCTACAGTAATCAAGACAGTATGGCACTGGAACAAAAACAGAAAGATCAGTGGAACAGGATAGAAAGCCCAGAGATAAACCCATGCACATATGGTACCTTATCTTTGATAAAGGAGGTAGGAATGTACAGTGGAGAAAGGACAGCCTCTTCAATAAGTGGTGCTGGGAAAACTGGACAGCTACATGTAAAAGTATGAGATTAGATCACTCCCTAACACCATACACAAAAATAAGCTCAAAATGGATTAAAGACCTAAATGTAAGGCCAGAAACTATCAAACTCTTAGAGGAAAACATAGGCAGAACACTGACATAAATCACAGCAAGATCCTTTTTGACCCACTTCCTAGAGAAATGGAAATAAAAACAAAAATAAACAAATGGGACCTAATGAAACTTCAAAGCTTTTGCACAGCAAAGGAAACCATAAACGACCAAAAGACAACCCTCAGAATGGGAGAAAATATTTGCAAATGAAGCAACTGACAAAGGATTAATCTCCAAAATTTATAAGCCACTCATGCAGCTCAATAACAAAAAAACAAACAACCCAATCCAAAAATGGGCAGAAGACCTAAATAGACATTTCTCCAAAGAAGATATACAGACTGCCAACAAACACATGAAAGAATGCTCAACATCATTAATCATTAGAGAAATGCAAATCAAAACTACAATGAGATATCATCTCAAACCAGTCAGAATGGCCATCATCAAAAAATCTAGAAACAATAAATGCTGGAGAGGGTGTGGAGAAAATGCTGGAGAGGGTGTGCACTGCTGGTGGGAATGTGAATTGGTACAGCCACTATGGAGAACAGTATGGAGGTTCCTTAAAAAACTACAAATAGAGCTACCACATGACCCAGCAATCCCACTACTGGGCATATACCCTGAGAAAACCATAATTCAAAAAGAGTCATGTACTAAAATGTTCATTGCAGCTCTATTTACAATAGCCCGGAGATGGAAACAACCTAAGTGTCCATCATCGGATGAATGGATAAAGAAGATGTGGCACATATATACAATGGAATATTACTCAGCCATAAAAAGAAACGAAATTGAGCTATTTGTAATGAGGTGGATAGACCTAGAGTCTGTCATACAGAGTGAAGTAACTCAGAAAGAGAAAGACAAATACCGTATGCTAACACATATACATATGGAATTTAAGGGAAAAAAATGTCATGAAGAACCTAAGGGTAAGACAGGAATAAAGACGCAGACCTACTAGAGAATGGACTTGAGGATATGGGGAGCGGGAAGGGTAAGCTGTGACAAAGCGAGAGAGAGGCATGAACATATATACACTACCGAATGTAAGGTAGATAGCTAGTGGGAAGCAGCTGCACAGCACAGGGAGATCAGCTCGGTGCTTTGTGACTGCCTGGAGGGGTGGGATAGGGAGGGTGGGAGGGAGGGAGACGCAAGAGGGAAGAGATATGGGAACATATGTATATGTATAACTGATTCACTTTGTTATGAAGCAGAAACTAACACACCATTGTAAAGCAATTATACTCCAATAAAGATGTAAAAAAAAAAAAAAAAAAGCAAAACCAGATGCAGGAAAAAACAATGGCGACTTTTGAAAGCCCTCATGAAAAACAGTAAACAGAATTCTAAGGTAGCCCTCAAGATTTCTTGCCACCCAAGATAAAGAAAGCAGAGAAAGATGTTAAATAGTAAAATAGGATGGCAGACAATTCTAAACTCATTTCTACAAAGGGGTAGCTAGAATTGTTAGGTTTTAAAATATATATACCTGGCATGTGTTGGTGTTCCAATAGTGTCCACTCGTTTTCTAGAGTATTTTAAAGCAAATTCCAGGCAAATTTCAACTCATCTCTTCTAAAAGGAATCTCACCACCACCCCTAGTCTTGTAAAAGCACATCAGAAACCTTAACCTTCACTAAAGTGATGCTTTTTATTTAATTTTACTCAAAAGTTTTCTTCACACTTTCCCCCTTTTACTCTTTGGTGTCTTGTAAGGTTGTAGTGGACTCTTGATGCATGGCAATTCAGAGTGTAACTCACACCTTCTCTTCACCTGTCCTGATGATAACCCTCCCAGTCTTTCAGTGCTCACTTGCCCAAATCTTCTCCTAAATTCCATTTTAAGATACATCTTGGGGCTTCCCTGGTGGCACAGTGGTTGAGAGTCCGCCTGCTGCTGCAGGGGACATGGGTTCATGCCCCGGTCTGGGAAGATCCCACATACCGTGGAGCGGCTGGGCTCGTGAGCCATGGCCGCTGAGCCTGTGCGTCCGGAGCCTGTGCTCCACAACGGGAGAGGCCACAACAGTGAGAGGCCCGCGTACCGAAAAAAACAAAAAGATACA